AAGCTTTTAAGACCCCAGACGCTGTATCTTTTGATAGCCAGGCACCATCAGCTTTCCTTACCACATTTGTTTATTCACGTTTAATTTTTTTTAAGACAAGCTTCTCACTTGACCCAGTCCTTTGGATGTGGAACTCTGTCCACACTTCCATCTACCTAAAGCTGCCATTGGCACTTGAGTACCAGCATGAATTTTCATTTTTGCCCCTCAGGTCTTCCCATGTTCATTTTGGTTGTTGCTTGTTTTTATTGCCCCCTAAGCCTCAATTGCAGGAGCCCATGTAGAGTAGAGGTTACAGGTTAGGCTGCTAACTGCAGGGTCAGCCATTCAAAACCATGAGCTGCCCTGCAGAAGACAGATAGGTTTTCGCTCTCTTAGAGTTCCAGTCTCAGAAACCCAGAGGACAGGTCTACCCTGTCCTGTAGCATCCCTGAGCCGGAGTGGATTGGATCGTGGTGAGTGCATGAGCCTCCTACAAAGCACCCTTGGTGGCATAGTGGGTTACAAGTTGGGCTGTTAAGTAACTACAAGGTTAACAATTCAAAACCCCCAGCCACTCCATGAGAGAGACATGGCTTTCCCCAGTTCTAGTTTCTCTTACAGGGTTGCTATGAGTTGGAATGGACTCGATAGTAGTGACACTTTTTTTCTTCACTTTAAGTCCAAATTGAGGAGTGTTCCCTGGTAACTGACTCTGAGATTACTTTCCTGCTTTTTTATTTAGAAACTTTATCAGCTAGAACCAGTCATCTTTTAATTGTCCCACCATTTTGAAAAACATCTCTTTATTTGCTTTTGACACCATTAGTTTCCATGTTGGACTTCTTGCCTCATTATTGGATTCAATATTTTGATTTGTGGAATAGATTTGTGAGTGAGAGGGGATAGTGTTTGTGAATTTCTTGAGGCTAGAGGGCATCTTGTATGCATTTTGGAACCTCGTTAATCTGGAACTCTGAGGCTGTGTTAGGAAAGCACTGAGTCGAATATGAAGGAGGTCCCCTCCCCCCAAAAAAACAAACAAACAAACAAACTAAACAGTATTTTTCAAGACTCTTGTATTTAATTTTTTTTACAAAAGAACTTTATCACCTTCAAATATTTGTCAAATCTGCGATTCCATTCTTGAAAACATTTTTCAAATGTATCTGGATGGCTGAGAGTACCTCCCTCATTTTTTTCTTCACCACTTCTACATCAAATTGGTGTCCTTTCATGTTCCTCTTTGAAACAAAGTCGCACAGAGCGAGATCAGGTGAGTAAGGCGTGTGGGGCAAGAGAAGCATGCTGTTTTTTTGCTAAAAACTGATGCACTAAAATGGCTTTGAGCAGGTGCATTGTCATGGTAGCAAAACCAATTCCTCCGCCTGCCTCAAATCAGGCTTTTTTGGTCACACGCTGTTACACAATCTTTTCAGAGCCTCTTAGTAGAAAGCTTTATTAATAGTCTGACCTGGTGGAACGAACTCCAAATGCACTACAAGTTGACATTTTCGTCCATTTGACGTTCAGAATAAGGTTTGTCATCAATTATTTCACCTTTTTTGAAATGAGAAAGCCAGTTATACACTTGAGTTTTTCCCATAGTGCTATCCTTGTAAGCTGTGTTAACATCACAACAGTTTCTGCAGCATTTTTCCCAAGTAAGAAACAAAATTTCACAGCCTCCACGCTGTTCTCTTAAATCAGTCATCACAAAAAAGGAGGCTCAAGTGAAACTGCTTTCATGAGAAAATTCACTGTGGTCAGATAGAAACCTTCCCAGGTGACCCCACTGGGTGCACTAACTCAGAGCAAATTGCTCAGTGATTGCCTAATGGGAACAATCTGTACTAAGAAAGCTCTGCGCAATTTGTGTGTGTGTGTGTGTGTGTTACTCCATCTTTTCCCTTCTCATTTGCTTCCATATTATTTTAATGAAGCAAGGGATTACATGAGCTAGTAAATTGTACATATTTTTCACAGATATGACACTGGCATGTACATGACACAAGGCAACATAGGAGGTGGGAGTGAAGATGTGGCCATTTGTTTCCTGATTCCCCTTCGTCTCTAAACTAGAGGTCTAGTTTCAGTAGCTGACCACTCAGGGCCCTGGCCTCCCTATCCAGCTGATGAGTGGCTGTAGTGGGGCAGCAGTGGAGGCAGCACAGCCTACACAGCTCTGATAACTATGCCTAGTCCTATGATATCCTCAGAAGCATTGCTACACTTGAACCCATTGTTGCAGCCACTCTGTGTTAAAGGTCTTCCTTTTTAGCTCTGGCCCAATACTTTATCCAGCATGATGTTCTTCAGGGACTGTTCCCATCCAGAGTATATGATATGAAGTCTTATCCTCACGTTGAAGAAGCTTTCTGGCTGTACTTCTTCTAAGACAGATGTTTGCTGTTCAGGCAGTCCCTGGTACAATTCAATGCCCTTCACCAACACCATAAATAACCTACTGGTTAGGAAACTCTGATCGGGATGCTGTATATTAATTGCATCAGGAATTTGTTAGAGGGGGAAATTAATTGGGCTTTGCTTTATATTGGCTTTGTCATTAGCTGTATTCTAACCACCTGGTAACAGAGCTGGCCACTTGTTCTAGACCTTGTTTTCCCAGCTTTCAGTTCATTCAAGAATAAAAACTCACTCTTCTATCATTAGGTAGGGACCAGCATAGATCTCAGGAGGATGCTCCTTGCCCCTGCTTGAGTGTGTACTTCCCAAACCCCAGTGTTCATGACAAGATAGTCTTGTATGTACTGCTGTGAGTAGATTGTTGCGTATATGTGGGATGTGGACTTTGACAGTGGAAGGAGATTAGTCCTACCTGAACCACTTGAAATGGATTCCCCTTAAAAAAAGATTGTGCCCTGTAGATGAACAGGAAGTGGTGACTGCCTTGGCTGACATAAAACTATTATGATAGTCCACTATAGTACACAATGGTTATGAAAGCATCATGAACTTACATTTAGCCTTATACCTCGTTAGAAATGAGTTCCTGTCTGTTTCGATAGAAATGTTTGAGCGACCATTTTTTTAAAAAACTCCATTTTCAGATATTATTTTAATAGTAACCATGAGATATGAAAATCGACTCGTTAAAATGAGACTTTTTCCTAAATACAAGTAACATGATTCATGTAGGTGGTCTTGTCCAAAATGGTAGCAACTAACCTCATGTAGCTATTTAAATCAACTAAAAGTACATTATTAAAAATTAATCTGACCCACAAGTCACAATTCAAAGTGCTCGGCCACCACATATGGTTAATTATTACCGGATTGGGTAACACAAATTATAAAACATTCCTTCTTGTTAAATTGATTGCAATGATGATTATATAACTCTTTTCAATATGGTTAAACTATTGAAATGTATGATGGGTGAGTTCTATCATTAAAACTGTTAAACATTCCATCACAATTATTAGCTAGTGTTCGTTGATCTATACCATGAAATTGTTGTTGTGAATACCATACTTCATCCAACTACATAGGAGAGTTTTCTTTGAAAGTGCCTCCCTCTGTCATAATCTTATATAAATACTTAAGGGAAACTTTTAAAATCTTTTTTGAGAAAAAGTCTCATCAAATCAAACATCAAATTGCATAGTACCCTCCCTTTATTTTTTGCTTGGGGCCAGGCTATTATTTAAAAAAAACTTTTTAAAAAAGGTTATTATTTTGCAGCAACAGAATTTATAGCAGTGTTTGTCAATTTGTGGGTTGCTAAGACCATCGGAAAATACCTCTCCTTTGTCGCCAGGTGGGTCCGCCCACATGCAGATATGCCCACATATGAGTACCTGGTGTGAAGATTGTTACCCATCCTACACCATGCTTCAAGACAAAATTCCATTGACTTGTCATTAGAAATGACAACGTAGAATTACATTGTTTTTGTGATTAATCACGATGCTTTAATTATGTTCAATTTGTAACAATGAAAATATATCCTGCATATCAGATATTTATATTACGATTCATATCAGTAGCAAAATTATATTTTTGAAATAGCAACGAAATAATCTTATGGTTGGGGGTCACCACAACATGAGGAGCTGTATTAAAGGGTCGCAGCATTAGGAAGATTGAGAACCACTTATCTATATCTATAGCCTCTCACCATTGAGGGAAAGTAGAGAAATTTAATTTTTCTCCTCAGTTTTTAGAGGGAAAACAAAAATAACTAGGAATAATTTGGAACTTTTTTTTTTAAGCCTATTTTGCTTTCTTGGTTATTTTATCTAATAGAATTTAATTTCCTAATTTAAAGTAGCTGATTTTTTCTGTGGGTAAAAATTACCTATTTGTGACTCTCACTAGACTTAAGAGCCCTGAAAAATCAAGGATGGCAACTAATTTGCCCACTAGTGTGTATTCAACATCTAATTGGATGCTTCTGGCACACAGTAGGTGCTCAGTAAATATTTTCAAAGGAAGATTTCTTTTACTCAAACAAGTTCTTCCATATCAAAACCTTTACTTTGCCTCCATTCTCCTGTGTAACTATTATCTTCCTGTTTACAAGTGTGGAGAAGAAAGCCCTTTGTAGGTAATAATACTTTTTAGATCTTTGATTTTATCATCTCCCACTAAAAGATTGTCTTGAAGCTAAATATCTTATCCCTTTTTCTACTCCACTTAATTTGTAAAATTTTTATACATAGCATTTGAAAAGCTTCCAGGCAGCATTTCTGCAGCCAGTTGAGACAGCACATCCGTCTCAACTTTGCTCAGTCGGTCTCCACCTTCATGGTAGACTCACAGATTCCTTTGCATTGCTTCCCAGGCCAGCTGAATACTAAGAACAAATTTTTATGATGCTCTACTTCCAATCCCCTCAGACCTCATTGGGCCAAAAATTCAACTTTATCAGGGAAAAAATTGAGGGAAAAAGTCAAAATAGGAATGATTTCAAATTAAAAGGATACTTTTGAATACTGTGATTATGAGTATTCTTAGCTGACCCTTTCTTCCATTTCTAGGACTATCCTGTTAAGTGTAATCTCACTGCTTAATGAGCCCAACACCTTCTCCCCAGCCAATGTGGATGCTTCAGTTATGTTCAGGAAATGGAGGGACAGTAAAGGAAAAGACAAAGAGTATGCTGAAATCATTAGGTAAGGTATTGTTTGTCTTCTTTTTGATCACTTCAAGTCTTCATATAGGACCAAAGTGTATCTGGGAACCAAGGATTTAAATCAGACTTAAATATCCTGTCCACTCAATTTCTCTCATTTATAATGTGGGAAGATTATAGTAAGTTTCTGCCTAAGTCTGATGGCTTGGGGTTTGAGGTAATCATGCGATATCAGAGATGATTTTCAGGGAACCAGATTTATGGGCTCTTCGGTAGCCATGTGTGCAAAGGACCCTATAATGGCTTTCATTAAAGCACAACAAATACAACTACCCTGGGTATTCCAGGTGTGTAAGATGGCTTTGTTTGATCTTTTTGTCCATGGAAGCAATTACCTTCTGAGGATCTCCATTCTCAGCAACCGTTGTACAAACTAAGACCTAGGTGACCCATGCTACCAAAGTTTGAAGATAATTAGAAACAGTCAAATTTAGACGATAAAACTAATTGTGGGTACAACTCTTAATGTGATTGAACTATTGATATGTAAATTATATGCCAATAAAACATGGGGGTGGGTGGAATACAGCAGGATTACACTGAAGATTAAGGAATGGAAATGCTTCCCAAAGCAGTCAAGATTGGATACTGGTGTTCAAGGGAAAGTTAGGGATTAGTTAGTGAAGAAGACATGCACATTCCCAAGGCTTTTCTGTTCTTCTTGTTTAAAGGTCTGAGAGATGTTTCAAATCCTCAATGGCATGAACAGTTTGCACTTGAGTATTAACCTAAAGGTTTGTGGTTTGGGCCCAGTTTATTTCAATATAATAAAAACGAAAGAGGGAGAGATTTCAAACTGGACATTAAATGCATTGACTTTTTTCTGCTCCAATCACCACCATCAGTTCCCAAATATTTTCATCACTCTTATCAAATACTTAAAACTCTTTAAGCAGTAACCCCCATCCATTTTCCACTCCCACCAACCCTTGATGACCACTAATGAACTTTGGTCTCTATGCATGTGCCTGTTGTATTACATTTAAGTGCATTTGTACAATATTTATCCTTTTGTGTCTTAATTCACCCAATGTTTTCAAGGTTTATCCATGTCATAGCATGTATCCAAATGTTATTTCTCCTACATGTACCAATTGTGTGTCTGGTGTTTAACTAGGGACAGGGATACAAAGTGGATTAGAACACAATTCTCTAAAAAATCTCTTTACTTAGGCCAGCAAGCATGCTAACAATGTAGATGATTATATAATAGGTGGATCGCAACCATGGCAGCCCAGCTAGATGAACAGGAAAAATAGAATAGCCTGGAGCTGGTAGGAAAAATGCCTTCCTGCAATTTTAAGAGATTACTGGGAATTACTCAGGCAAAAAGAAGAAAGACGCATCGAAGGAAACGTGTTTACCAAAACGGGTTTGTGAAGTATGAAACTTCCTGAGAATTCTGATTTTAGAAGTATACCTACTTCTCACTATTAGACTACCTAGTATCCCATGTCTTGCATTTATGATAGTCGTAACAAAGTTTTCTTAATGCCATGTCAGGCAGTAATGATATTGAGGTGTGAGGCAAGAGTAGTACCGATTGTGCTGGTTAATGTTAACATGGCTAGGCTGTTATTTGGCAGTTATGTAGTGTTGCCCTTTGGCAATTGTATATAAACACCCTCCACCCTCTTTAGTCATTTTTTCCCCAGACCTGATTTTTGGAACCTAACCATGTCAGTAAGTCAAGAATAGTGCCATCGGAAATTAACCAAGAGAAGCAACAGAGTTTAAAAGATACAGAAGTCTTGATGAATATAGTCCTTAGGATGGCAGAATGTAATTGGCCAGGAGACCAATAGGGAGTCTAACGTGAGAATGAAGCTAAGGCAGTGGCAATGGGAGGGAGAAGACAGAGTTGAAAATATGTAGGCTGCAAAGCTTAGGCCAGGAGTGATTTATTTTAGGAACTGATAACTGGAGAAACTAGTAATCGAGGTAGAAAACAACAATGCAGTTTCAGATTCCCGAGTTGTTAGTCCTTTGGGAATTCAGGATGGAGACATCCAGAGAACATACAAAAGAAACGTGTGTGTGCTGGAGCCTGGTAGGAACTTTGTCAGCATGAAGGATGGCCTTAGTGCCGCTTTAACAAGTATCACTAGGGGTGGGGTCTTTAAAAACAGGAACTTATTTTCTTACTGTCAGACTAGAAGTCTAAATTTGGGAAGATCCTTGTTAGTAGCACCTGTAGTTCTTGGCATTCTTAGGCACTGGCTCTCTTCTGTATCTGTTATGCTATGTGTACAATGGACAAGTGATTAGGTTTAGGGCCCACTCTACTATGGCATGACCTCATTATCCCATTTTCAGGCAGGGTCACATTCACTGGCACAAGGGTTAGGATTTTAACACATATTTACAGTATGAGAAAATTCAATCCCTAGTCTCAAAGCCGCAGGATCATGTCAAAATAAGTAATGCAGCACCAGTGGCTGAAAGATACACAGAAAATCAGGGCTGTGATAGTTGAATTCCAGTTCTCTAATCCGTTGAAGGCATGAATTTGCATAGTTGTTGAAGAAAACATATCACCTTCCCATTCAATTATGATCCAATAATTTTTGCATGCCATTATATTCCAGGTTGGCATCTAGGCACTGGAGAAATGAAATGACTGAGAAAAGGTCCCTGCTCTTAGGAAGCCCACATTCTAGTGAGGAGAAACAGTAACATAAAAGGACAAAAAAAACACTAGATAGTGATAAACCCACCACTGCCCCCGAGTCAGATCCAGTTTCTACCAACCCATAGAGAATTTCTGAGGCTTTGTGAATCTTTATGGGTTTGAACCACCAGCCTTGCTGTGAACAGTCTAACACTTCGCCAACAATGCTTTTTTAAAAGAACCACCATAGGGGAAGGGAGACAGCGGTTGGTGTAAGATATGTAAATAACTTATAATTTAGCAAGGGGTTACAGGGTGTGGGAGGGGAGGGGAGGAGGGTTTAGAGAAACAAGTAGTTGATACCAAGGCTCAAATAGAAAGTAAATGTTTAGAAAATAACGGCAAAATATGTACAAATATGCTTGATACAATTGATGTATGGATTGTTATAAGATCTGTAAGAGCCCAATAAAATGATCTTTTAATAATAAAAAAAGAACAATGTAAGTAATTAGATTTCCACTTTCTTTGGGTTGTCAGGAAAGGCCTCTCCAAGGTGATAGTTAAGCTGTCTGAGCACCATATGTATAGATCAGGGGGCAAGCAATTGATCTACAACAGAAAAACCATCTAGGAGTTCAAGTTACTATAAGAGGACTTGGTGGCCTGGATTTTTTGAGTTGATAATGGAAGAACATCATAGGCTTATGAGAATGACCAGGTAGACAGGTGGGTCACACAAGCCTTTGGAATCCAAGAGTAGTTATTGGGATTGTATTATAGCTGTAAATGAAGATATTATATTGAGAGAGTTGATGGGACTGCATATGAGGGAGCTTCAAAAAGTTCGTGGGAAAATTAAATTTTAAAATGGACATTTTTGAACTTTTTGAAGTTGCCTCCTTATATTGCTGGTAAGAAGACTGAGGAAAAGCTCCACAGGATATCAGACTAGATATTTTCATTAGAGATCCTCTGCTTTAAACTCCTCTTATAACTTATTTTTCCTCTAAAAAGGGGGTGGGGAGCCTTTTTTCTTCCAAGGCATTTGAATATTTATAGTGTCATTCACAGGCCATATAGAATTATCACCTGAAAAATTAGCCTTCTATAATTGGTCAGACATTTAATGAACTCAGCCCTAATCGATGGTTGGAAAACGTTCTTGTCTGAGACTTGTGATGTTACCTGATATTGATGATTTTGAGGGCCATACATGGCCCACGGGCTGGACATTACCCACTCTGGCCCTAAGAGGTTTACTATAAGTTGTCTCCAACGTGTGGGACTCGAGGGACTGAAAGTCTTGGGTGTAGTACTGGGTGTCAGATGCTTTCAGGTAAGCACCAAGGTCCAGAAAGCAGAATGCTAAGACCCATGGTTATTTAGAAGCCATTTTAAAGGTCCACCTTTAAGGAAGAGATGTAATATAATGGCTTTTATCATCCTCCATTTAGGAAACAGGTTTCAGCCACCAAGGCAGAAGCAGAAAAGGATGGAGTGAAGGTCCCCACAACCTTGGCGGAATACTGCATCAAAACTAAAGTGCCTTCCAATGACAACAGCTCAGATTTGCTTTATGACGACTTGTATGATGACGACATTGATGATGAGGACGAGGAGGAAGAAGATGCCGACTGTTATGATGACGATGATTCTGGGAATGAGGAATCGTGACGCGCTCCTTTGAAGCCCCTGTACTGCCCTGCCATCTCAGGCCAAAGGGAGGGGAGCAAGTGGGGACCTAGCAGTGGCCCCACAGCAAAAACCTATTCACAGGGGGTGGGAAAAAGAAACACGACTCCTGCTGGCTCCCCTTAAGGATCTCAGTTTGCTCCTTTTTATGGACCTCTTAATGGAGAAAAAGTAACCCTCCACAGAATGTCTGAATACTTGCATTCTTTACCCCTCCATCACTGTATTGATTCTTTTTTTAAAAAACAAAACAAAACAAAAAAAAAATTGACCCAAGCTCCCGCCTCACTTCGTCTCTACAAAGTGTTCACAGCAAAACACGTTTGGTTTGTTTTTAGATTCTTGAATTAGTCTTTCATCAAGACGTTTGATGTATTTAAAGCTGGAAACCCATTGGGAGTTCACAAGTGCTGCATATACTGGGTAGGAAAAAAAAAAAGCCACAAAACAAAACAAAACTTAGTTAAAAAAAAAAAGTCTGCCAAGGTTTATTAGCTGCTCATTCACAGCATTAGTGTGTAAGCATTCGTTTAGCCCGTGGTGGCCAGTTTCCTTTCTGCTCCATTAGCACTGGAGTGCACTGGGATTCAGGGACTTTGTTAAGCCTGTGGGCCCCAAGCTTGTCTCAGCCTCCCTGACATCACCTGAACACGGGGGCCTTGGGGCCTCAGCTACTTTGAGAGAAATCAATTTGTCTTTGGAATTAATTGGGATCTAAAGCTAAAAATAAATATTCATACTTTACATAGAATTGAGCACTTGGTTGCTATTTATTTTAAAGGCAAGGTTGTTCTCTCTTCCCATTCTCCTCTCCCCCCAACCCGTTTTGCAGGGAGTGGAGGTGTGTGTATGTGTGTGTTTTGTTTGTATTTTCATTGCTGAGAACAAAGAGTTAAAAATCACCATGCCGTTTTTGGTTGATGCTGCTGGGGGAAAATTGGAACTGCAAGTGACCACTGTCGAGAGAGGATGCCCCTGTCCTGTGTTCTTCCCATCACTGACCGGGGTGGTTCTGTAAGTAGCCAGTTGGAATTGCTAAGTATTAACCCTAAGTGCGCGTGTTAAGGTTTGGTTTTCATGGAGCTGCCTTTACCCACAGTGATGCATGTGGATGTGTGAAAGACTAGAATGACCTGCTTTCGTTCTCACTTGATGTGACGGACTTCTTCCATTGTGCTTTGACTGTGGCACGCAGGCAGATGTGCACGGAGCCCACCCTGGACTGCTGCTTCGGCTCTCCAGGCAGGGCGTCAAGTGCAGGTGGAGACATCGTCCTGCCACACAGCCCTGCAGCGCCAATTTCTAGACCTCAATCTTGTTGCTTCAGTCAAAACTTGAGATCTAGCAGCTGTTCCCAGCCAGCGACTTCAGAACTTGAGGGTTTTTTAATTTCTTACGGAGGGTAGAGGAGGCCATAGAGCAGGATTATGTTGGTGGGGAAAACCTCGAGAAGGTAAGAGAATCACAGATGTTGGAAGGAAAATACAACAAGACCAGATCCCATGCACTCGTGTCAACAGGTGTTTCCAATCATATAGCTCAGAAAGAACTAAAGGGCTGCACCGGGCAGGGGTGCAATGGAGGATTCCAGGATGTTCACTTGTTCAGCTCCTCCTTCCTTTCTGATCTCAGGGTTTTCATTCGCTCTTCAAATGCTCCGCGTATTTGCTGACCACTCCCCAGGAACCTTTCTGACCTCCCACGTTCGTCTGATACTAAGTAGGCAGTTGAACAAGGAAAAGTTCCTGTCGGACATTGGTGAATCTGGTCCTGTAAGCTTTATGTCCAGTCCCTGTGAGGGGCCAGGGCTGTTACTGGCACCCTGGAATCTAGTGAATCCAGACAGGTTTTAGGGAACAAAAGTGGTCTGATTTCAGAAGTAGCTCTTTCCTCCATATTTCCTTAGTGCTGTATCCAGATAACCGGCAGACCCTCTGCAGTCTCTACCAGTGCCCTGATCCCACCAACTCCCACCTCAGTGTACATACACAGCCAGCTGCTCGCTTGTACTCTTGGAGCTCAACGCTAGGCTTGCCTTTTCTCAGGCACCTTGGCGGCATGGGAGCTTGCTGTGCTGCTCAGTCCTTTCCCGTTAGGTCCTGTTGGCCTCTGTTGTGCATTGACTCAGGGAGCCAGAGAGCCAGGCCAGAGGTTTTGCCTCACAGCCCTTTGCATGTTACTGTAGAGGGCCGGTCCACCTCTGATGAAGAGTACAATCAGTTCCAGAAAAGACAAGAGCCTGGCAGCAAGTAGACGTTCTGGCAGCCTAGGCTAGTCCAATCCAAGAGCTGTCCCCGAGCTCATCACCTGTCGTGGGAATAACTTTGTCATTTTCTTTCGGGGAGTCGAGGTCTCAGGTTCAGGCCAGAACCTTGTGGGTATAGCTGTGCTGATGCTGGTGGCATGAACTCAGACTCTGCCTTTTCAGTAGACTGCCTCAGGTTCTAGAAGGAGGCCTCTGGCAGCTTCTCAGTTGTGTGTGTGGAAGCCAGTAGACAATTGATTCCATAGTTGCTCCTCTCAAAGTCACCCTATCCCACCTCCTTCCAATTGCTATCATTCCAGAGTTCTGTTCTGCTAGCCAAACTCTTTTGTAGTTCTTCCAGTCCCCCTTCCTGGTAATTACTTGCTGGTTTCTTTTTGTTTGGGACTTAAGAGATGGAAGTGGGAAAAATGAGTCCTCCGCTAAAGTTTTAACTTTCCAGCTCCACCTCCCCCCCCAATCCTAATAAACAAGGTTTACATTTACAACTAAAAAGATTCAGATGCAATTTTCAACTGAAACCAGCAAGGACACACCTGACTTTTAAACAGTTTTCTTAGTTGAAACTGTAGATGTTTTTCTTCAGTATAATTTATGGGAAAGGATTATCTGATGCATTTTGTGTTGACTTCCCTTTTAGTGCTTAATTTTGTGTTTTTCCTACCCATCTGTCTACTAATAAAATGTGAAATAAAATGTATCTGTATTGCTACTTCCCCATGGGATGACCTTTTTCTTTGTTTAAAAGTTTCTAAGTATCTTTGCTATTACCATGTAGTCCTGGAATTCAGCTTTTAAAAAAGAAATCTAAAGCCTCAGAACTCACTGACCTTCCCTTTGTAACAGCCCACCCATAGCTTACCTCCCTGAGAAAGAACGAATCATCTCCAGTCTTCACTAGTTTTTAAAGGAGGTGTTAAAACCAGCCAGCCATTTTTAAATTGCTCTCTAAATGCAGGCACAGTCTACACAGAGAGCAGGTCAGGGAGGCAGAGGGGTGCTCCAATGCCCTTTCTCAGGCCAGCACTTGTTTTTCATTTTCCTTTGTCTTCCCGCCTTCCTGCTGGCAGGAGACATCACACTGTATGTAACAAGGTCCCTATTTAGTTTGTTGTGAAGACTGCTCATTCTCTCCCAAAGTGTGTTACCAGCAAGCTGTAGGTGACCTCTGTCATGGCAGTGGCCACCACGGCTTTCTCGGGGGTGGTGGTGTGTGTGTGTGTGTGTTGTGTGTGTTGCCATGGGCAAGCATTGGCTGCTAATCACAAGGTCATTTGCTCAAACTCACACTGCTCCGTGGGAGAAAGCCACTACCTGTTGCTATAAAGATGGAGAGCTGCAGGACCCTTGAGGGACCCAGGAGAGACCCCATGGCAGGGCGCTCGGGGGAAGTGATTCTGTATCGAAACTGAAGGACCTTTACCAACTTCACACTCGTAGCGACCCCAGAGGGGCTAGAGTAGAATGGCCTGAGAGTCTGAATGAACTTGGTGGCACTGTGTTTTGCTCAGCCCAGCAGCCGAGAGTGGGAAACGTGCTGTGTGCCGCCCACCCCACCCCCACCCCGAGTTTGAGTCTAGCTGGGGAGGGTCAGACTCCTGACCTCTAAAGAATGGTTGGTTAAGAGTCTGGATCAAAGATGCAGGTTTGGACTCACTTGGCTGCTAATTTATGCCACTAGCACCCATTAGCCCTCCACTGCTGCAGCCCATGAACACTGATCAAGATGAAGAGGACAGTGTTAACAGGTGGGCACTGGGCCTGTTCCCACTTAAGGGAGCGGGGTCACCTGAAGAAAAATGCCCTGTGCCCTGGCCATTGACTGCCTCCCCTACTTCTGTGCAGGTGCTGCAGAGAGGGTGAGCGGTCTCTTAGTGGAAAGGCAGAGAAGGGCTACACCAGACTTCTAAGGAGTCTGTAGGGCCGTTATCAGAAGTCTGGGCGTGCTTTCCTTCCCTCTTCTGAGACCTCCCCTCAGTCACCACACACAGACCATACATGCTCTCAGAACTTTATTAGGTGGAGTTTGGGCAAATCTTTGTTTTCTTCTGTAAAAGGGGAGCTGATTGTGGCTGAGCATCTGTGTCAAGTTCAGATGGTTTTTAAAATGGTCAGCCAGAAGAAGGCAAGTCTCCGCAGACAGGACACCCAGAAACACAAGCCCCTGCTCTGAAGACACAGGTGCCCAGCCACATGGGACAGGGTAGGTTTCTGCTCGTCCCAGGTCAAAACTTGGCAGGTGAACAGGACAACTGACAAAGAGCCAGTTTCTTTTTTTTAAAAAAAAAAGAAAGAAAAGTAATTTACATAGGCAAAAAACCCTCAGTGTTTACAACGGTGCAAGAGAAATTGTGATTCTTCATTGGTACCTGGCCCCAGCACTCCAAAACCAGTCCTTCCAAAGACTTCCCCTGACAAGTGGGCAGGGACTGAGGAAGGAAGGGCAGAGGAGAAGGGGCTGCTTTTGCTACAGTGAGAGGGGGCTTGAAGGGTAGCAGGCCTAACTCCCCGGCAGCCCACCTGCCTCAGATCACATTTACAAATACATACATAAATACATTACGTACAACGAGTCTGGGAGGTGGGCTCCCTACAGATGCTCTGCCAACAGTTACACGTTCAGGAATTCTAAGAAAGACTTCGGGCTCCCAGATACAGCTCCGTGTGTTCGCTCCTGCCTGGGGGTAGCCCCCCAGCCAGCCCACACCCCCTTCACAATTCAGTTTGTCCAGTACGGAGAGTTGCCATAGGCAGGTTTCGAGCCTTGAGACTTGGGCTGCAGGGAGCTGGGCTGGCTGCGCTGACCAGAGCCACTCTGAGGAGGAGGAGGAGGAGGAAGGCTGTAATGGCAGGATCAGAGTCCCCAGACCAGGGCGGAGGCTGGCTCCAGTTCAAAGGGGACACTCACCTGGGTGTCCTGTGGAAGGTGGTGGTGCAGGAGCTGTGAGTGGGGCTGCTGATGGGCGGGCAGGATGTGCAAGAACGGTGGGTGCGCATAGCCAGGGGCTGTGCCAGGGGCCAGAGGCCCAGTAGAGCCCAAAGCTGAGGGCAGGGTGAATGGTGGAGGGGTCCCTGCGTGAAATCCCTGCTTGTCAAAAGTCTGCAGGGTAAAGACCAGATCAGGCCCAGGCTGGGTTGGACCTCCCACCAATCTACCTGTCCACCTGCGCCTGCCCTCCTCACCTGAGTCTTGTTGTAGACAGAACCAGTCATATCAGGTAGGCCAGTGGTGCTCGAGGACACGGATACTCCTGAAAAGAAAAGCCTTGTTTCTTGCAAGCAGCTGGTCCCAGCCTCCCGATCCTCCAGGAGCCCTCTGAGTAGCCGAGGGGGGGACGAGTGCTGCCCTGGGTTGCAAGCCTTGCGGGGAGGGGACAGACACTACCTTTGCCAGGCCCAGATCCTGCAGACTTGTTCTGTGCCTGTGATGATCCGCCATAGCCCCCCTTGGTGTAGTCTCCAGCAGCTGTCCCTTGGGTCAGCTCGTCATAACCTAGCATGTCAGACGCAGGAAGGCTGTCTGTCAGGCACATCTTGTCCAGCTGAGCCTGGCCCCACCCCAGCGGGTAGCCCCTCACCTGCACCATAGCTGTGCTGGCCATAACTGCCTGCCTGCTGGAAAGGCGTGGTAGGCGTGCTGAGGTTCACTCCATGCTGTTTGGCTGAGGCAGGGGGGACCTGTAGGAACCAGGGGAGGCGCGACAAATCTGGTGCCCTTTGCTTTAAGCCTCAGGAAGCAGTTGGCAAACTCGCAAAAGGGACCTGTGTGCTACTAGAGTAACTCGTGTAGGAGCCGACATCAGACAGGAAGGGTGGCACCAAGCCCAAGATTCCCTAATGACGGGGAGACTCAGTGGGCCAGGACCACCGTTCTGGCCCAGCAAAGGGAGGACGGGGACCCTGCAAATACTCACAAACATGGTGGGCCCGTACTGGAAGGCACTGGGCACGCCGGTGTAGTAGGGGAGGCCAGTATAGCTGTAGCCGGGGGGCAGTGCGGGGTTCAGAAAGGGCTGCTGGGCGGTGTGGTGGCTCTGAGGTTGGCTCTGCTGTGGCTGAGCCAGCGTGGTGGGGGGTGCAGGGGATGCGGAGTCCCCACGGCCAAACTTTGTGATGTCACCTAAGGGAAGAGCACTGGTGCTGGTCAGTGTCCACCGTCCAGTCACGGAGCAGCCCACAGGTCTGGCCGCCCCTCCAAAGTGAGCAGGTTAGGCAGCCTTGAGCCTTCAGAAAGACCAACCTGAATATGGATTATTTGCTAGGCTCCCGTCTCGGCTGGCGAGGGCTGTGGGCGTAGCAAAGGGGATTCCGTAGTAATCCTAGGAGAGACCAGGGCTCTATCAGCAATGTCCTCCCCAAGAGAGTAGACCTAGCCGGGAAAGGGCTGCGGGGCCTGAGGAGCTGTGCCGGGTGACCCTGTTTGACTGGCCCACCCTGCGCCTTTGCCAACTAAAGACAGTGGCTGACCAGCCTCATATTCAGTTTACATAGGGCTACAGGCTGAATGCCCCTAGCTTAAGAGTTTTGCTGTATTTTCCTGTAGGAAGGTTCTGAAGCGCAGCGAGAGAAATGGGTTGGACAACACAAACCTGAACACAAGTCAGCAGGGAAGGGATGCTAAAAGGTTTTAAAATGGTCAGGGTAACTCAGGGGCCTCGCCAGACTGGCACAGACTGGCAACTCGCCCTTCACCTGGCTAAACAGCTTGCCACATGTACCGTGCACCCTGCCCCTGAGAAGACGTGGCAGCCACAACCCATCAAAGCCATGGGGGCTCTGCAGAAGGAGGGAAGTGGCAGTCTTGGACACAGGCCTCCTGGGCCCTGAGCAGAGAGAAACACGGCTCGATCCTAGGCCAAGAGGACCGGCTCACAGCCAGACCAGCTCCCCTGGCAAGGGTGGCTCTGGCACTGTCATTGGCACCCTACCTCTGGGCACATCTGCAGAAAACCCAGAGCATCTATTCCACTCAGACTCAGAGCAGAACACCAGGAGGAAGATGGTGCAGGGTAAAGAAAACCTTGAACGGGGCCTCTTGGCAAAGGATGCGACCTACAAGTAGAGAGGACTGGCAGCTGCTGGTCAAAGACCCGAGGAACAACGGAGAGGCTCTGCGTCGCGTAAGCTGGGCCAGTGGACTTCACCAGTGAAAGGGCAACAAGGGCTGTGGATGCAGGAGGAGCAGCGGGATGGGCCCACTCTACCTGGGACGCCAAGGCTGTGGAACCCTTGACGTAGCAGTTTCTTTCCAAGCCCATCCGCCTGTTCCCTCACAAAGCCCTAAGGTCCGTGGGTTACCCTGAAAATCTGGCATCACGTCATCAAACCCTCCCAGACGCTGTGGGGTGCAGACAACCACATTCTGGGGGCTGAGCAGTCTAGCTGCTGGCCTCTAAGGCAGGCAGTACTTAACGATTTTGTCCAGGAGGGGTCTGGGCAGAGCCCAGGACACATGCACAGCTCCCCAAGTTCTTTGTGGGAAGAGAAAAGCAACACACCCAGCAGAGGGGAGAGGGGGTCCTGCACACAGCCTCTGTGGGCGACCTGAGCTGCCAGCGACGCGGAGTCCAGAAAAGGCTGTGCAGGGAGGACTTCCAGAGCAAGCACACTCAAGGGGGCAGCCCAGTGTGAGTCTGAGCACTAGGGGACACCCCAGGCTTGCTCCAGCTGCTCACCCAGCTGGGTGGAGGAGTGTCGACTCTGCCATCATACTGCGGTTTAACCAAAGGGCAACCAAGCTCAGAGTCACCGAATGGAAGCTTTCTAAAACTTCCTAGGTTTGGTAAGCAACGCCTATGCCATGCATCATAGTTTTTTCCTGGGGAAAAAATTTAAAGCGGTAAGAAAAAGGGTCCAACATTTTGTTGGGGAGCTGTGTGTTGGGTGAGTGGCCTTCATGATCTCCACAAAGAACCCCAGGTACTATATGCCACGTCACACCCACCCAATGGAAGAAGCTATGTCAGCGGTGGTACCAGGGGACTAAAAGTGGGTATCCTGGGGGCCTGGCTGGGAGGGAATCGGGGATGTGCAACAGTCTGGCTGCTCCTGCCCTGCCCCCCTACTCACCATCGGCAGCCGTGACTGCAGCATCTGGAGCTCGTCGTAGCCATAAATCTGCACACGGACCAGAAAGAGCAGGTTGGGAACCACACCACACCCCTCTGGGGTACCCAGGCCCATCTGGGGAGCCTCCAACAGTGTGGGGGCATAGGACAGAACCAGGAGAGGGGCCTGGATCTGGCGCTAAGGGAACAGTGTCTGCCCTGCCTTGGTGGTGTGAGATGGAAGAGGCGTACCAAGGGCCAGAGGAAGAGAAAAGGGGAGTCGGGGGAAGAGCAATAGCCGAGAGTGGGCGCCCCCGGCCCAACCCAAGGCCCCCCTCACCAGGTCCTGCCAGGTGCCAGCCCCTGAGGCCAGGGGGGCTGGGGCCGGCCAGGAGCTCCACCGGGCGCTCACCGGGTAGGCGGGCAGCAGTCCTCCAGGGCCCACGAGGTACTGGTTGTGCAGCAGCGGAGGCACCCCTTGGGGCAGGTTGGGGGGCGCTTTGCCTGCAAAGGCACAGACCTAATGAAGGGAAGTGGCCTTGTCCAGACAAAAGCACTGCTTCCACCATCCCAAGGTGGCCTACACCCAGTAAACATGGACACAGGACCCAACCTGCTCTGCAGCACAGGACAGAGAAAGTTGGGGGATGTTTATAGTCCTACCAAAGCAACGTGCACTGTCATTAGACAGCCAGGCACAGCTGCCAGAAGCATCCCAAGATGCTTCTCCAGGTCACTATGTCCTCTCAGCTCAAGAGGAAAACAGGACAGAAGAGCCTGTGGAACAAGGACCCTGAAGATTGCCAAGATCCTGCCTGGGTCGGCCTGGGGGTCAGACCTCTCACTTGCTTCCTCCTTGTGAGGCTAGAAGGTCAATAGGTACAAAAACCCAACTCAGCAAGGGCAGGGCCAGAGTAACACTGCTCTGGGCAGCACAGGGCAGCAGGCCAGGCCACTGGAGCATGTACCTGAGGTGACCAAGGGCGCAGCCCTGGCGCTGCTGCTGGGTGCACTCACGGCGGCCCCACCCAGGCAGAGGCTGTTCACTGCATTCATGCTGCCTGGGAGGCTGGCCCCTGAGGAGGTGGCGCTTGAGGCGGAGGTTGCTGCTGTTGAGAAGGTGGCCGAGGACTGAAGGGCAGGGGTGCTCTCCACATTGGCATGCTGGCAAGATAAAAGCCAGGAAACATGGAACTGGAGGAGGAGGAGGAGGAGGGTGCTAGGAAAGCATGGCCTGCTGTCTGGACCTGTAGTCTCCAGAGTGGAGGCAAGCACACAAGGCAGACACCTGGGACCCCTGAGACCTTTCCCACCACCGGGACCCGGCTGAGTATCCACACTATGAGAAAGGGGTTCTGTGACTTGATGGTACACTTTCATATCTGAAACGCGGCCAGGAAACCAGTGGCAGAGTCAATCCAGACAATCTGCCCACGGAACACAATCTACCTCACGGAAATGCAAGTAGTCCCGGTGAGCTGAACCCTGGGCCACGGGCGGGCAGCCAGTTCAAGTCCGAGTCCTCTAGAGTATCTTCTTAGACGGACCAGCAACACTGATCTAGAAGCCAGAGAGGCTTTCGGCACTAAGACTTGGTGACCTCTTACGAGCATCACAGCCTTACCAACCCACGAGGTGCAGCCTAGACCTGTGCTTGCTTGACAAGAGCCACCTACACAGGAAGGATGACACCCAGCAGAAAGCCCTAAAGGACCCAAGGAGCTCCCCGAGACCTGGTCAGCAGCCTGACTATGCAATCACGAGGTGCCTCAAAGGGCCAAAGTGGGTGAAAGCGAAACACCAAGGTAGGGGCAAGGTGCACCACAGAGAAGAGATTGGAAACAGCTCTCTGACCCGGGGACCAGCCTCCACGCCAGGCCACAGGCGAAGGGACTGCCATGTGCTTTGCCTTCAGAGACGACGAGCTCGGCAATAGCCTCACACAGCACAGTGTGGGGAAAACAACGCACTGGGTGCTCCAACACGGGCACGTCTCCAGAGCAGAGGCTGCGTGCAGAGAAACAGAACGGAAGGGCATTATTTACGGGCCACTCTCATTTCTGTTAAAAGGGAGAAAAAGGAAGAAAAGGGCGGAAGACAGGAGAGATGAACGTGCCCTCATGTTTCTTTTTTTTGTTGTTTTTTGGGGTTTTTTTGTGTGCTCATGTTTCTATATGGTTTAAAAATGACATCCGAGGATTCAAGACAACAGGTGAGGGAAACAGCTGAGAGACAAGAAGTGTTTCCAGGTCTGTGTAATTATGTTAGCAGGTGGCCCTTCTGTCACACAGGCAGGGCGTGGGCCTCACTGGGCTGGATGGCAGCTGGCTGTGGAGAACAGGCTGTACAATTTGGAATATCTTGCTGAGAAACTGGACTGCAGCCCCATGTTGCAGGAGTGGCCAGTCAGCTGTAGGGTGCTTGGTAAAAGGGCTGCTCACAGCTCCACTGGCCACAATGAGGGCACTGGTGGGTGGGTGGGCATGGGTTGCAAGGGCAGAGGTGCCCACACTCGACTTTACTTAGAAGAAAGCTATGTTTGTTTTATAATACAGGATTATTTATGAGATTTCACTTAGAAAAATGGAGAAAGTAAAAGTTAGCCAGATATTGAAGGAGAGATAGGACTGGTCCCCTCCTGTTGTGTCCCTATAAATGACATGATCCCATCAGAGAAAATGGTCTCTAATTTCCTGCCCTCTCCCACGAATATCCATTTGAACCACCCTCCACCCACCGCTGGAGGACCCAGCCACACTCACAAGAGCTCGGACGGTTGTTTTCTCCAGGCACCTTCCTTTCGACCTGTGCTGACGCTCAAGGCTCTCGCACCTTTCAGCTGGACACCATGCCCCTCCCCTGCCTCTTCATGATCAGCTACTCCTGACCCTGACCGTACGCTCCCAATCACGATTCCATAAGCCGCACTTGACTAAGTCACACCTCGGCTTACTCCTACCACTGGGACTCGCTTCTTGAACGGCAGTCTCTGGCTCCTTCCCTTTCTACTTCCAGGCTCTCTTCTTCAGTGTCAGCCTTCCCAAATCTCTGGGCTCAGAGGTGAGAGATGGCATGAGCTACAGCCCAGGAGAACCAACAAATGAGAAGGCACTGACACTGGCTGGCTCGGGCCATGGCGGACTCTCAGGGAGCTGTACATGCATATGCCCACAGCAAAGGAAGGCCACTTCTTTGTATGTTCTCTTTCCCCTTTCCAATGGCCTTCACAGAGTGACTACCAGGAACCATGCACTTAATTAGATTCTTAGTGGAGCCCAAGCTAAAATGCCTTACATAAAACCTCAACGTTTTTAGCCCGCTAGGTAGAAAAGTCTCACATAATGACCAGAGAGAGCTCAGCAGATTCTTAAGTGTAAGTCCACCACCTGACAGTCCTGCCGAGGACAACACAGGTCCAAAGAAACGCTTTCTTTAGGAAAGCCCCCTACCCGGGGAGCAAAATGCACTCCAGACTGCCTGGGAAACCAGTAGCTCAACTTGCGTGACTAGATCAAGGCCTCTCAGGCAAGTAGCTCCTGCATGTGTGTCAGCTGTGTAAAGCCAACCCGCCTGTGTCTGAGCTCTAAGCTCACTGAGCCGGGTGGGGGGCCGGGGCCCTGAGGACACTCACTGCGTGTGACGTGCTGGACGGCAGTGCAGCGTGCGCAGAGGAGAGGCTGCTCTGATGGCTGGAGAGAGAGCTAGAAGACAAAAGCGATCACTACGTGTCCACCTGAGCCAGTTCTGCCCTAAGAGCCAGGTGGGCTAGAAACAAATGGGGCATTGTCCCCAGGCAGTGCTGTTTTCAGACCCATCATTCCTCACCCCAGAGAACCTAGTGGGCAGGGCCCTGGTGGTCAGGCCATTCGCTATGGGGATCTGATCCATCTTGGCCAGGGAAACCTCTAGAGTTAACATCAGCCAGCTATCACCATTTTCCCTTTTGGCTGTAAAAAGTGAGCATAGGCTGGTACTATGAATACTTCCAGTGGTGGCTTCCCAGTACATCTGTGGGTGAGGGAAACGAGCCTATGTTCAACCCCACATGGAGGAATCAGAGCCTGCGCCCCCACTACACGCCAGGTTCCAATGGCACACTGGCTGAAGTAGGCAACGAGAGACTACTCAGAAGGCACTTCCAAAACCCTGCTCCCATAACTCAACTACTGAGCCTGTTGAGGACACACTGCAGCACGCTCAGGCCATATCCCAGTACCAAGAAGAGCCCAGGGCTAGGCGGAGAGACGGGATTCAGGCACCCTGACGAGGGCCAGAGAGGTGGTGCAGGAAGGGATCCAGTTGTCTATGCTTTCCAAGGTATTACGGTCAAGCAAGGTTTTTACATGGTGGCGTTACCCAGCCAAAATGCTAGCAAAAAGCCAGTTCCATCAGGCTGGCAGGAAGACAAGTTTTGGTTCATGAGAACCACCACCTACAGGGACCTGGGCCTCCACTGCAGCATCCCTCTCCCCGGGTCCTGTGGTCTCCACACCTGCTGAGCGGAGAGAGGGGGCTGCTGGAGCGGTCGCCAGGCTGGGGTACGGAGGGCAGAGTGGCAGTGTGCTGGGATGTGGCGGGCAGGAGTGTCGTGCCGGTGGTGGTGCTGGGCAGCGAGGTCACAGAGGGAAGGGCGGGCGGAGTGTCTGTTGTCTTTGGAGCTGGAACGGATGATGTAGCTGCAGGAAACAGATCTGATAAGTTCCAGAGCCAATGCTGAGTGTCTGAAATCCACTCAGACTCCAATGACATGTCAGGCTCAGTTGAAAGTCATATTCCCCAGAGAAAAGCCTACAAATGTACCAATGAGCCCTTCCCAGGCCTCAATCACAACGCCCTTCGGCGGCGAGACAGGCAGGGCTTGGGCAAAGAATGGGAAAAGACACCTTTATACCCATCAGCCGAAGTGCTGTCTAATGAGAAGCCTTCTATCATCCAAAGGAATATGCCTTTTAGCGGCACCAGGAAAGGGGAGAGGCTCTGAAAACAATATGTAATTATAAGACAAGGAAATTTTTTCTTACAAAGCATAGGCAAGGCATAATGAAGACCTGGTGGGCAGACTACTCAAAGGTCTTTGCATTTATCAAACCAGCTGACACCGCCTAGGGCAGGTGAGGGTTGACTATGCAGAGTTCTGGATGCTGTGGAAATAGTCACATGCTAAAAGCTGCAAAAAGAGCATGTGCCTGTGGCCAGCATCGATTTGCAAACAGTGAGACTCCATGGTCTGTGCTTCCAGAAGCACCTCAGGGCATGTAAGCAGCGCTGCTGATCTCAGAAGGGCCAAAGAAGCAATCACTTCTCACATGGAAAAGACTCAGTTTTAGGTTGTCCACACATACAGCTCAGCTATGTGCTTGGAAATACAACATCACTGTCTTTCCGGGTTAAGGAGAATCAGCCTCTGCCCCTCAACTAGGACCTGTTCTCTCCTCTAGAAGCCACTGATTTGCTCGTGTCACAACAAAATCAGCTCTTACAATGGACTTCACATTCGTGGGGTCTTCTTTTCACTGAACATGTATTCCAGAGATTAAACCTGTTCTGAAAGGACCCAGATGAGGACCCCACAGGCGTCCTGCCTCATATCTCAGAGACCAAAAGTGACTTCCCTTGTGATTCGCGTTCCTAACAGATTAAAAGCAAGCTTCTCAGAGAAGACGGCATGGAAGAAAAACGGATGGACAACCTATCTCAATGTATGCCACGCTTTCTAGGTGGCCCACAGCTTCCGGTCTCCTATGAAATACCCACACAATATGGGGCAACTGTTTGTGCTTGAGCCTCCAGCCAGGCAGTCACTCCAAGCAGCCCTGGGAAACCCAGGAGTACCATCAACACCATCAGCGGATACCTGTCTGTCTTGCTGAAAGAAAATCTAAACAACATAAACTACCACACACAGGCTAGCCCAACCCTAGGAAACAGCTTAGAGGTTCCCCTGCACCGCCTCCAGTGAGCATGGAGTCGAGTGAGGCACTACAAAATGGGCTGGAAGGGGGGAGGAAGCAGGGGTGCCTCTTTTTTCCATTAGCGCCCAGAGCAAACACTGTCTCTATCTTCCCAGCAATAGCCCTTCAGATACTGAAAGCAGTGAGCACATCTTTCCTGAACTAGTACACCAATTTTCCCCTAAGAAGTCTTTCCACCATCTTAGAAACTGCCTCTGAGCCAAGTGTCTTTTAAACCCAAACTACACATTAGGTTTAGGCTGCAGTCAGACTAAGGGACATGACTGCAAGACCATCACCTCTCCTTACTATGGCTACGGCATTTCTAATCATACCTGTCACCCAGGAATCTAGTCAGAAAAACAAGAGTTGGTTTCCTGTTACCAATGAATCTGACTTCTCTCTGTTCTGATGATGGGTTAGAAGCAGTTACCAGGAGAAAAACGTAAAACCGCTATTGCTGCAGAACTGGGCACTGGACAATTGTCTTTCCACATCTCATTAGCTATGCTCGCTTTCTTTGGCCTCCGCAGGCCACACCAGCTGTCAGCTTATGTACTTACTGTCTAGAGTCTGCTGCCCTCGGCCACCACCAGGTCCAGTCTATAAGGAACAGAAAAGAAGAAAGTAAGTAAACCACAAAACACAAATGATACTCAAAAGCGCAAGCTGCCTCTTGTATTTTTTTAAGAAAAGGAGGAGAAATACAACAATTTCTTAATAATTTTCAAGGAGCTGACTTTCTTTTAAAAGCAGAGATGAATACTCAGAGAAGTAATGGAGACACAACATAAGGCCTACATCACAGAAAGCAATGAGACAGCAAGTGCCAAGACAAATTTGGAAAAATGAAAGTATTCAAAGAACTTAGTAAGGTTTATTGCGCTTTTTTGGGGTCTCATATTACAACTGTCTCCTGAGTAAAACTTATACAAGAGAATTTCCAAAAGTAAAACTAAGATGTTTTCCAGAAACGATCATATTTTACATCACTAGTAAAATGGTTCTGAAAGAGAGAGAGAGAGAGAGAGATTACTTGAAAACATAGCTCCTTTGAACTGGAGAGTGACGAGCAGGTGAGGCAGCGTGGCAGAGCCTAAGAGAGTACAGGCTAAAAAACCAGCAGTTGAATGACATTCATACATTTCACACAGGAGATAGCCTGGCTCAAGGCCACCCTCCACCCATGAATCTGTCCTGAGATGAGGGGAACATGGCTCAGAAAGAAAAACAAACAAATCACATTCTGTTCTTCCAAGTGTCAAACTACGAGAGACAAGAGACCATGCTGTAGCCCAAACCATGCACAATGTCTGCTCAAAGTGTTATACTTATCATAATGCACCTTAAGCTAAACAAGCTATTACTTACAATAGACAAATGACAACCACTAGAAAGAAGCAGGCATAACCAAAAAGGTTAAGATCAAGAGAGGGGATTCAAATATATAGAGACCAGGGTTCACTGTCGCTACATACACACAGGACATCAAGTTTCCTCAACAGCAAAGACCATGACGCACAAAGAAGTTCCCTCAAAACGGCAGCAGACAGAAAGAACAGGAAGGGGCAATAGGAAAAAGCAGACATCAGACCTTAGGGAGATGTGATTACATTTTGACAATCAATTTTAAAGTACACATGGAAAAACAAATTAATGTGACACAGAGGCCACATTATTTGGAGTTGGCAAATTCTAGACAGAAGGCTGGTTGGACCAAAGCAGAGAAGTATCAGAAGGCCTTGCGAGCCCGGCCCCATGCAGCCCCAGTGGGCTCAGCAAGACGGGTGCACTGTGCTCGCAGAGTTGCACAACGGCAGGCATGACGGTAGGAAGGCGGGAATTGAAGCCTGGGAAAACAGCATAAATAAGTACTAAGAAAATGTTCTGCAATAATGGAAATATTCTCTATATGTACAATGCCATATTTTAGCCACATATAGTTACTGAAGATTTAAATTGGCTAGTGTGCCAGTAGAATTTTAATTACTAATGTTAATTAAGTGTAAATAATCACATTATAATGACAAGTACAGGAATAGACTTATGACTAAGGATGATAGATCAAGAACACGTGATCCCCTTGCAGAGGGGTCTCGGGGAGGAGATGAGCCAGTCAGGGTGCGATGTAACAATGATGAGAAATACAACTTTCCTCTAGTTCCTAAATGTTTCCTCCCCGCTCCCACTACCATGACTCAAATTCGATCTTGCAAGTCTGGCTAGACCAGAGGAGATACACTGGTACAGATAGGAACTGAAAATACAGGAAATCCAGGGCGGATGAGCCCTACAGGACCAGTGGTGTGATTGGCAAAACAGGGAGGGTAAAGGGAGAATGGGTAGGAAAGAGGGAACCGATTACATGGAACTGTGTGTGACCTCCTCCCTGGGGGACAGACAACCGAAAAGTGGGTGAAGGGAGACGTCGGACAGGGCAAGATATGACAAAATACCCATTTATAAACTATCAAGGGCTCATGAGGGACGGGGGAGCGGGAAGGGAGGGGAAAAATGAAGACCTAATGTCGGGGGTTTAAGTGGAGAGAAAATGTTTTGAGAATGATGTACAAATGCGCTTTACACAATTGATGTGTGTATGGATTGGGATAACAGTTGTATGAGCCCCTAATAAAATGCTAAAAAATAAATAAATAAATAGATAGATAGATTTTTGAAATGAATAAATAAATAAAAAGAACACGTGGCTTTAAAAAACAAAACACTGCAAACCCAGAAAGACAAGTAATAGTTGAAAAAAGTGGCAGTCACAAACATGTCAGACTGGAAAGCATACCAATGATGGTAACTGCCCTAGTGATACAAGAAAGCCGAATCCAAACCCGGCCGTGCGGGAAACAGCACAGAGCCCGAGTTATAAGGGAGAACTACGCTAAGCAACTCATTACCCTAACAGATGACTTGGAAGTAAGAGTAGAGGTGGAGCTCCAAGTTGGAGGGTTTGCTTAAAGTCCGCTCTCCCCAGTCCCCCCTCCCCCTCCCAACACAGGGCACGCTCCTCCTGCAGGTTTGAAACTAAAAATAACACTGGGTCACGGGTACAGTTTTAAAAAAGGATAGTAAGTAAGCCTACAGAGAACTACCCCTATCTAAAACTGAGGGCTGGGAGGAAAGTGGTCACTAAGCAGAGTACTTGAGAGAGAGGAGTATAGAAGATCAGTTGCATAAATCTAACCTGAACAGTTAAAGCGCTGTACGTAGACCCCCGTGATGCAGGCTTAGACTTGACCTGGTTTCCAGAATTTTCTGTATTTTTGGTTTGTATTGTTTTGTTTGGTTTTTGTTCGTTCATAATAGAGTGTATCTCAGAGGTGTCATGTCAATGGAGGACACCCTCTTGAAGCTGTTATATGCTTTTCTGTTTTTCACTATATGAAACCCAGGACTGATAAACCTATAGGGATAGCAAATAAGGGTTTTGGGGAGGGTGGGGGGCACGGGGGAGTACTGTTGTGGAGGTGGGGTAAAAGGGAGACGATGTCAAGGAGTCATGTAGAAATAAAATGGTTGGAAACTGATTGAGAAAGCAATTGTACAATTCTACTTGAAGTGATTGTAATATGGAAGGATGTTATATGTATTAAATCCCAACTAATTAAAAAAAGGTGGTTTTCTTTAAAAAGATAAAAAGGAAACAAAATATCAATAGATGGATTAAGTTATGATGACAAAATTAATGTTATAACCCCAGTTGCTCTCTCCCATTAGGCTCTCAGAGAATAGCATTTTGCCCTGTGGGAAAGAGACTAAAGACTGTTCCCTAGGAAAACTAAACACCGTTAATGGTAAAGACCTAAAGGGTCTGAAATAAGAGTCCCCATCCCTCAAAACAGAGCCTACCCTGTCTGTCCATCCATATCAAAGTCCAGCGCCCAAATCTTCCCCAAGCCAGAACCGAGTTAACTTCTTACTGGCAATCACTTCAATAAAATATGTCAGCCAAGTGAGGAGTCAACTAAGTCCACAGAGATGAAGCACGCCAGCCTGTGTGACCCAAGACCTGAAAGATAATACAATTCAAATCTGGAGAAGGGAACGGTGTCCTGAGCACTTGCTCTGCAGAAGGCTCCAAAATCCATTGCAGGGTCCGGCGTGGATTAAGACTGAATTAGCTTGCTGTAAAGCCCATTATGACAGAGGTAATTAGGTTAAAATTTAACAACTTTTCATATGCTCTCCCCTTTGACCCATTTCAAAGTTGGTTCAGTTTTTCTTTCTTTTGTAAAAGTTTCCCTTTGTTTTGTTTGGTCATTGTTGCTGGTTTTTTTGTTTCTTGGATTGGATTCTGTACATGAAATCCAGGATAGGCAAATCTATGGACACTAACTGGATCACCAATTACCTGGGGACCTGGCAAGGGAGGAGGTTGTGTGGAAATGGAGAACTAACAATAATAACTAAAAGGAAGAAGAAACTGTTCTGAAATTGATTGTGGTGATGAATGTATAACTCTTCTTAATATGAATGAACTATTAAATTGTACATGTGAATTATATGCCAATAAATCTATGTTAAAAATAAAACATGACAGGCAAGACAATTAGACATTTCAGTAAAACATTTCATCAAAGATGACAAACACAGGAGGTAGGGAAATAAACTGGGGACACAGAGAGACTACTCTTAAAAGCAGTATGTTATCAGCATCCATCAACAACCTGGAGAGAGAAAGAGGCCCTAGATATTAACAACAGAACAGCAAAAACCAAGACATACAAACCCGAAAAAACAACAATCTCCTGGAACAGAAAAGGAGAGCAGGGGTGGGACGAGGAGGGCGAGCCCTGATCTTCCCCTTCAGATTATTTTTATCCCTAAATTCAGAGAACATTGAAAAGGAACAGAATTTGTCTCTCTCAAAAACGCTGAAACAGCCATTTTGGTGCAGTGTAAATCAAAGAGCACATTCTTTGGGAAAGGGTTACAGAGATGGAAATACTCGTCTAGGACGTAGAGACCTAGATGGAGGATATGTCAAGAAGCAATAGCTGCACACTTCGGTATTTTTGTTTATGATTTTCTAACAGTACTTTCTGAGATACCCTCTTAATCTCATTTAAAAATGTGGACAGACAAGTCCAGAGTAGAGGGGTATACCCAAATTGAAGCAGTTTGGGAAGGTGGGCTATAGTATCTGCAATATTTTGATTTTCTACAAGGAAAAGGTGTTCAATTATTAGTAGTGTAAGTTGTCTCTTCCTGAGAGGGGGGACAAGAAGATGAAGAAAAGAGTTAGGTTGCCACAGTGGATACCCCACCCCCACCCCCCACCCCCCGTGTTTTTAAAGGGAATCAGAGCATGCAAGAAAAAGGTCATGCCAACACCTGAAAAGCTGTCTCCTGGGATCACAGGAGAAAAGAAGAGCAGACGGCCTTTCCCGAGAATGAGCCACTGACAGGAGAAAAGAGAAGGACCGAGGAAGAGGCTGCTGGCTGGGAACAAGCACCCGAGGAGCAAAGAGCCAGCCACTAGAAGAATGCATCCCAGGGAGGGACTGAAATATTTAACAGAAACCTCTGGTCACTTCACTATCAATCGGTGATATCAATAACATCTGAGTCTTTTAACTCAATATAGCTACGGTAATGCAAAACCATGTGCAGTTGGGGAAAAGAAGTTCTTAAGGGAGAGGTATGCCAGAATCAAACAGACACAGAGCCAAACTGCTCACACCACACCGAGTCTTCTGCACAGTGAGTGCATTCATTCACAGGCATGGGTGTTGGAGAAGCAGGTTTCACGTCAGATGGCCACGGTTACTGAAGATAACAAGGACATACAATGAACTAGCAGGGTTCTACTAAAAATGGTAGGCAATGTCTCACCAAGGAATGACTTTATCCAAAAGACTTAATTTTCCAGTGCACACACTGAGTTACAAAATAAGATGTCCTAAGATCAGAAATTGAAACATGACTTACTGTGACGGCTCCCGCAGCAGACTCCGGTGGACTCACAGAGCTTTGGTACGGAGTCCTGTTGTGCACAGCACTCTGGTCACAGGAGGACGACGTGGTTACTGGACTGGTGGAGCTCAGGGACGAGCTGCTCAGATTGGAGGAAGGCATGGCAGACGTTGTACAGGGAGAGTCCTGAACTGCACTGGTCATTGGTAAAGACGTCTTCAAAGGGTCGCTAAGAAAGAAGAAAAGGCATTACCATTTCAGTCTATTTGTGTCCGTTTACATAGTTTCTTGAAGTAGAACTTTATTTTCATATTTGAAATAAAATAAATAACCAAAACTACAAACATACAACTGAATTAAAAAATGCCAAGAGTGTTTCAAAACAAACCACCTGAGTAACAGAAAAAAGACATAAAGAATCCTTTGTTGTTGTTGTTGCAGTTTTCCTTTGTCTCGATATTTAGAAAGTTCAGTAAAATAACACAGTATCACAGTTCAGAAATACTTTGATCTTACTATAATTTAAATGGAAAATCTAGTCATTTTTTATTTTCAACAATGCAATTTATAAAAATAATTTTACATTTATAAAATGAATCATTATTTCACAATAAATTATTCACTTTTATTACCTGAAAATGGTTTATTATATAAAAATAATAACTTCCTGTCCACATGCTGAAACTATCCATTTCTCTTTATCCAGCATTTTTGAAAGCTGTGTATAAAAATATTATACTACAGATTTCCCTGACAGTTATTAGAACAAAATCATTTGTAGTAATTTTTAAAACACAGTTGCTCAGTAATAAAGAATCCTTAAGGAATATATTTCTGAAAAAGTACACAAACATCAGAAAATGAACCAGATAAATGGAAATGCCTAAAAATCAAGCAATTGTGTTCATCGAAAGACTGTTCAAAACACAAAGAGAGTCTACTGACTGGGGGGGAAATGGGCAACAGTATAACTGACAAGGGATCAATTTCTAGAATTTGTTCACCTCAACAAAAATCAAAAATCCAATTTGAAAAATGGGCAAAGGACACAAGCATGTAACCAGAGGACAATCAGGCGATCAACAAATACACAGCGATGTTTGCGATCATTAACCATTCATAAGAAAATATTTTAAAAAAACCCGCCTCCCCCGCCCCCTCTGCTGCTGAGTCCGCTCTGACCCAATGAGGGCTTCAGCGGACAGGGCCGAGCTGCTCCACAGGGTTTCAGAGGCAATCATTCTTTACCAAAAAATAGACTGCCTCCTCTTTGTTCCAGGGAGTGAGGGACCAGAGGGGTCAAACCATCGACCTTTTGTTTAGGAGCCCAATGTTTAACCTACCGTACCTGACCTTCTCTAATTAGCTATTAGAGATAAAAGTGAAATATTAACAATATCTTATCACTCTAAGAAAAACAGCAATGATTACAAAAAGCAGAAATTACAAATACAAGGGTGTGGAAAGACGGATGGTTGGACCGGAAATGGTATAGCATGTACAGTTTTGACAGAGGCTATTTCTATATATGTGAAAAATAGTATATTTCCTTTAAAAAGTTTGAGTAAACTAACTACGGTTCATATACATGCTGGCATGCTCAATTCAACTCACTGCCACTGCATGGATTCCAACTCAAAGCGACCTTTAAGACACGCGCAGAACTGCCCCTGTGAGTTTCTGAGACTGTGCCTTTTTATAGGAGTCGAAAGCCTCACCTTTCTCCCTTGGGGTGGACTAGTGGTTTCAAAGTGCTATTAGCAGTGAAACATGTAGTCAGTCCATCAGGGCTCATTCAGTGAATTACAACACACCTTTCGATCGTAATGATGAATCTGTGACCTTAACTGGATGAATCTGGTGGGCATTATGGTGCAGAGCGAAACAAGTCAAGCACAAGAAACCCAAATATTTTATGAGGCCATTACAATAAAACGTCAAGAAAAGATGTGCACAGGGCAAAAACTTCCATGATAGTTACCAGGGACGTGTTAACTTGGGTGAAGGACAAGGCAAGGTACAAAAAGGAGGAGGGCAAAAATATAGGGCCAAAGCAAAGGAAGGCAATGGGAAGTACACAAGGCAACAGTAACAAGTCCATATACATACACAACAGCAGTCGTAACAAATAATACTTCTGAATGGACACACAGGTAGAGTGACTCCCACGAGTATGTAGTTTGGGCTGAGGCTATTTCTACATACATATCTGTATGTACTATAAATATATCCACCTGAGTACACAATACAGAATATGAGGGGAAAGGAGGATAAGGTATAAAAACTTAATCGAAACCAAACACCTTGAAGGACCGAGTCACTGGGCTCGGGGGCTTAGAATCACCGTTTGGGAGACATCCAGGTCAATCGGCTTAACACAGTCTACAAAGACAAAAGTCTACATTTTGCTTTGGTGAACAGCAACTGGGGTCTTAAATGCATATGAGCAGCCATATAAGATGGTCTCTCCTTACCCAAAGTGAAAAAGAGTGAATAAAATCAAAGACACATGGGAACAATTCATCCAGAGCACTTAAAGGGCCAGAATAGCAAGATGGTGCCCAGTCACCAGGACCAGCCACTGATTAGAATTACACTATAATGTCATAGGCAGAGTGGGAGAAAAACATAAAACAAAATCCAAAACCATGAAAAACAATGTATCAAGTAAGCAATAACACCTGCGAGGCACCTGTGCCTCAGGACCATCAAACACGTGAAACCAAAAGGGCAGCGTTTGCCCCCCAAACAGTCCAGAAGGCAGGAAAGGGGAAAAGAAGGAAGAATGGAAACGGGGAACCCACGGCAGAAGAGAAAAGAGGGGTATTACAATGAAGATATTGCAATGACATCACCAAAGTGTATATAAATTGTTAAAGAAAACACTAATTTGCTCTATGAACTTTAACAATGATCAGGTTTTGTATCACCTGGGGGTTCCTCACATGGTTACATGCAAGAGCAGGTCTGCTCTGATGTCTGTATACACCCAGAGAACTGTTCATGCCTAGACTAACTTTTCGGAGCAGACTGATTCATAGAGCTAATGTATAGAAACAACCTGGAATGTGCATCAATGAAGGAATAAGCAAAATGGGGTATACGGACTCCATACAATGGAGCATTACCCAGCCATAGAAAGTAATGAAGTTCCAGCACGCTGTCAGGGCTTGAACTGTGCACCACCAAGTGTGTGCTGCGAGCCCTCACCCCTTTAGTTCTGCTCCTTGCTATATATCAGTGAGACGACACTGATACAGGGTGCACTTTAAGTCAATCTCTTCTGAGATTGACAGAGGTAAGTCAGGGCAGAGAAGCAGATGGGGGACATGAAACACCACATTGGCCTGCCAGGAATAGGAGCCCCCCCCCCCAGCTGACAGAAATGGCATGCCCTCACCCAATCACGTGCTGAACTGTGAGAAATGTATTGGTTGGTTAAATCCACTCATGTGGGGGACTCTGCATGCTACAACATGGGTAAACTTTGAGAACACTACGCTAAGTGAAGGGTTCTACTTCCATCATAGAAATTGTCCACACAGTGTAAGACATGACAAAATAATATATAAATTATCAAGGGCTCCTGAGGGAGGGGCGGCGGGGAGGGAGGGGTAAAATGAGGAGCTGATACCAAGGGCTCAAGTAGAAAGAAAATGTTTTGAGAATGATGATGGCAACAAATGTACAAATGTGATTGACATAATGGATTGTGATGAGTTGTATGAGCCCCCAATAAAATGATATTAAAAAGGAAAAAAAATTGTCCACAATAAGCAAATCAAGAAGAAGAAAGGAAATTATTCGCTGCCAAGGTCTGGGAAAATGCAGAGGACCTAATAATTGCTATAAAGTTTCCTTCTGGGGCAATGGGAAAATTCGGGAATCAGAGAAAGGTGAGGGTTGTAGAAACCTATTGCCATAGAATGTATTTCTCCAAAGAGTCATTTCTTGGCCTCCATGTTGGTTTTGCTTTGCAAACAAACAAAGAAAAACATTTAATTCAGTCAAAGCAAGAGGATCAAAAAGTTGTGTACCTTAAAGACTTTGAATACAAACTAATGGGAATTTGATTGCTATTTTCACTGCTTGGAGCTGATCCAAATTCAGAGAGAGAGGGTTCTGATCCAAATTCCAGGGCGCCGAACTGAACATTCAATCCCGTGACATCTGCAGAACCAGGCATTTCCACAGCAGAAGCTGGGATCTGAAAGCAGAGCCAAAGTGTTAGGAAGAAAGGTCAGGGATTTTCAGTCCCATAGGCCTCCTGCAGAGCCAAACAAACACCTGTGCTCACCAGGCACAGGGCCCTACGGGCAAGCCTGAGGGACCAAAACACAGCATCACTGTTTCTGAGATTGAACCTGCAACTTGAGCTAGATGGAAAATCACCCTTGGGCTGAGACTTCCCAATGGAACACCCACCTTAGAAGCAGGAGGGATCCGCCTTTTGGGGAGTTTGATGTGTTTGGGCTGTGATTGGTGGGCAGGCACAACCATGCTAGGAAGCTGCAAGCGTTTGTTCACAGTGGAGGCTCCTTCTCCAGATGCTGACTCTCCAAGTTTGACCAGGCCAGGAGGAGCAGGGACTGCCTGCGTCTGGTGCTGCTGTCGCTGGCTCAACTGGCTAAGAACTGGGGATGGCTCAGGCTGAGATTTGAAATCTAGAAAATATGTAAGGAACACAAAGAAAAAGAATGTGAGGCATAATCAATTCATTAATTGAATGGGCTTAGGGGTCTCTCTACCACCATAACTTCTAGTTTCTCCCAAACCACTTCTAGCTGAATCTCGTGTGTGTGTGTGTGTGTGTGTGTGTGTGTGTTTATATAACTGATATATGACAAATGGGAAAGGAATAGGCTGTGTCTAAAATCCCATATAGAAAACAGTTTACAGTAAAACATGCAGGTGGATAAGAACAGTGCCGAGGTGCTGCTACACATGCCTAGCCTTTCGCCAACAGAAATATTATTCTTTGTTTTACAGAACTGTACTTAATTTAAAAAATTACTTTTTTTGTTTGTTTTACATAGGAACATATGTCATGGTCCAAAATTCAAGATATAGGACAGTGTATGATGAAGAGAAACCTCCCCCTTCTATCACAAGCCTCCAGATTTGCTCCACAGAGACTTGCTCCACAGTCCTCGACTAAGGAAGTATCTCTGACATACTTTATGACATACATACTTAGGATACCTAGATACCTGGCATTGGGTAGCTAACTGAAAGATCAATGGATCGAATCTACCAGTCACTCCCTGGGAAAAAGATGAGCCAGTCTGCCCCCATAAAGTTGGCAGTCTCGGAAAACCCAGCACTTCTACTTTGTACTAAAGGATCGACTCAGTGGCAATGGGATTGGGTAAGCCTAGATGTCTTATGTCTGCACACTTGTTTTAAATTTTAATGCTTATTTCCCTCATAATACTATATACTGTCCTACACCTTGCATTTCTCATAAGACAACTAATTTTCAAGACAACCCTATGTTTCATATCCATATAGGATGAAGAGCTAGTGCACTCATGTTATGACCGCACAGCAAGCCAGCATACATGGACTGTGTTTCACACAACCAGTACCACATTAACAAACTTTTAGGCTTTCCGATCTTTGGTATTAAAAACATTGCTACCATGAATACACTGTAAAACCTGGGAAAGGCAGAATCTGTGTAAGCAGGGGCCTGCCAGAAGGAAAAGCCAAGTACTTTCCACTCACAGGACCTACAGGACAGTGGTCAGAGTCCACAGTGTCAGAAGGAGAAGGTCCAGAAGTGCAGCAGAGCCAGCAATCTTGCACAGGCTCCCGAGTCTGTCTGGACGGCGTTTGACTCCAGTGCAAGTGTCCCTGAGCATTCCTAGAGTTCCTGGTCCCAAAGGTAAATGTATGTAAACTTTCAGAACCATTGCAAAACTGCTTTCCATAAGGGAGCACACCTCCTTAACACACTCAAATACCAAACATTTATCTCTCTTAGTCTGATTGGTGGAACATGATAGAGAATAAATGTACATAAAAAGTATCCACGTTCAATAACATCTTATTTCATATCCTTTAGTGGTCTTTTCCTATTGTGTCCATAACTCTGCTCATTTATTTTCAGTAATTCTTTTTCATGTTAAAAAAAAAAGCAGTCCTTTGTCTATGATGTTTTCAAACATGTTGTTCAATGATGATCTGACTTTCAGTTTGGTTATGGTGCTTTCTCGCAAATCTAGAAATACCTGTCTCAAAGATTACTTAACATTTCCCGTGTCCTCCCCACCCCACTGTGTTCTTGATTCGTTATGTTTAAATATTTGATTCATTTGGCACTCTGGTTTCCAGTGGGAGACAGGAATCCAACTTTACCTTACAAATAAATAGCCAGTTATAACCATCATTTATTGAATAAATTGTCTTGTTCCCATGGACAGAGCCAGCAATCTTGCTCTGTACAGAGAGAGCAGAAGGTAAATACAGAAGGCTTCGAAGGCCTGTCGTTGCTGTGTGAAACTATTCACAGTCCATACAGAAAGGCTGCATGCCAATTCAACTTCATCACCTAAATAGGGGGCCTATCCAGTTCAAGGTCTGTGGTTTGTCAGTTCAGGGTTGGATATATTTCTATCTAAAATGAAATTATTTTTTAACTTAATTTTAGAGGCATGAACCAGAAAAAGAGACTTCATAAACAAAATGCAACTGGTATGTTCATGTATTACTTCTTAGTGAATCTGCAAAAAAGAACCAGAACACGGGAGGCCTGAGACTGAGCTCCGTTTAGAAAGGCCTGCTTGCAAGGTTGACTCTTGAGGGATGCCTGGGTGGGAACCTGGACTGTGGGAAGGTTTCCAATACCCGAAGTGCTCAGAGTAGTTCACGATGCCTACAATGTTTCTGCAACCAGTGTAGCATGAAAACTGAACGCCTGCTTTCTCTCTGGAATCTGGAATTTTGGGTAGTGCATGGCCAAGAGCACTTGTTTTGCTGCTGTTGCCCTGCGCCAATGAGTCACTTCTGACTCGAGAAGGTCCTACAGAACAGATTCCTGGACTGTCATCTTTATGGGTGCAGAGCACCATATCAGGTCTTGTTACCCAGGAGGACACTGGTGGGTTCAAACCACCCCACTCTCAGTTAGTCGTCAAGCACTACACCAGTGCACCACCAGTGCTCCTTGGCTCTGTAACCAGACCCGCCAAAACCCTTAGGCACCGAGCTAATGCACTTCCTTAGTAGACAACACATCAAACCTAGTGGTGGTCTGAGGACCTCCAACAGGGTAAGGCATCTCACCGAGCGGAGAAATTCATTTTCCTCTCCTTCTGCTCTCTAGACACAGACCAACCCAGATAGCTTTCCATATGGTTACAGAAGCCCACCGATATTCCATCATACAAGGTGGTTGTGTGTCCTACTATGGAATGAGGATTCAAGCCACAATTTCTCTAAGAGTATAGTTTAGAAAACACTCAACTTACACATGATGTCTTAATAATACAAACCACAGTAAGTACAGGCTGGCTAGCCAAATCTTGGTGGATATATGGGGATTTGAGAATGAGAAAGCAACATAGAGAGTGAAGGTTAAAAGGCTGTCCACACTCCATGTTCTGCCACCATCTGAATCTAGTGGAGTTCAGAAAATCCTGTTTATGAATTTACTCAATGTTACTCTCTTGCATCTGCCTACGTCTACCAAGCCTTTGCCCATCTCCTAAAGGCTTACCAAGAAAGATACATGGATGAATGGAGCAATGTGCACAATAAAGAGCTGACCAACTTAGTTTAATTCAGAAATGGTGCAGCACGTATACTAAACTAAAAAGCTCCCCACTAGCATTCACAAGTCAGCAGGCTCTGCTCCTGAGGAGGAAACAGCACACAAGAGGCATACGTACCAAAATGACTGAGGACTGAGGACTGAGATGCTGTGGGCTTGAGGTCCCAAGAAGTTGTTGGGGGACTCGTACTATTCTGCTGTGAACTCTGGGTGGTAAACTGGCCCAAGCTTGGCGTTTTCAACTGGTCCAGAATCTGGGAGCTGGTGATGTTGGCCATTTTGGAAGGTGCTAGCTCTCCAAACCCGGAACCAAGGACAGACGACTTTGAAAGGAAAGGAAAAGAGACGCTTTCAGCCACACAGAAGTTCCAACGCCAGCTTTCAAATACACCATTAATTTTCAATACTATGAAAAGGGCTTCTAAACTTCATGAAAAAATAGAATTGGAAGATAATGAGATTTTTCCATGGACTTTTTGTGCCTCCTCCCTTGTAAGAGCCAGAGTATCACATTTACCTAGAGCCACTTAAGAAAATATTACAGGGAGGGGGAAAATGAGGACCTGGTGTTGGGGGTTTAAGTGGAGAGAAAATGTTTTGAGAAACGATGTACAAATGCGCTTTACACAGTTGATGTGTGTATGGATTGGGATAACAGTTGTATGAGCCCCTAATAAAATGTTTAAAAAAAGAAAAGAAAAGAAAATATTACATTATAATGTTACCATGCAACAATAACTGCACTCTCTTCTAATTCTGATGAGAATATTTTTACAATGCTTTCAAGAAATTAATTTTAAAAGAAAAAAAAAGCTGATGTCACAAGTCCACAATCAAAATACCACTTTTTTTCAACTAAAGAGATACTCTGTATTAAATGACAAATGCATGCCTGACACATACAATCAAACGCTGTTCTTAATCTATGGACCAAGAGTCATTTTTAAAGAAAATGACAGGTTTGGTCATCAAAGATATCAACCATGAACTAGCTCACCCTGCAAGATCACATGCTGGTCACAGCACTAAGTTAATTAACAACTAATATTCCAAAATCAGACATGGAAACAGACAAGTATTTGATGTTGAGCAGATTCCCGGATAGTGTTCCTATTTCAAGTTGTTTAGACCAGTACAAACACCACGTATGCTCCATAAATAAGTACACAAACGACAGTGCTACATCTCTCCTACCTACACCATCAGGACAAAAAGCAGGATCCAGGGGAAGTTTATGGCAGTGGCAGATCGACTACACAATTAGACATCACCAAACTCAAAACAAACTCACCGCCATTAAGCCGATTCCAACTAACAGCCCCGGTAGGGCAGAGCAGAACCTCTCTTGTGGGTTTCCAAGACTATAACTCTGTACTGGAGTGGAAAGTCTCATCTTTCTCCCGAGGAGAAGCGGGTGGTTTCCACCTGCTGACCTTGTGGTTGCCAACCCAACACATAATCCCCCTGTGCTACCAGGGCTCCTTTTTAAAAGCCATCAAAAACAAATACACTTTACATTCTCCTAAAAGACCAAATCTAGAAAATTAAGGGGGTTTTTTTGCTTGTTTTTTATTATGTTTATCTCAGCGCAGTTCTTGTGAATTGGGTAAAAGTTTACAGGACAACTGTTTTTTTTTCCAATCAACAATCCATACACATTATGCTTTATGACACTGGCTGTTATCCTCACAAATGTACTGGCCCGCCTCCTGTTTCCTCCCTGTGCCTGTCAGTCATATCCACTGCCTTTCTGCCTTCCTTCCCACCCTTTCTTGCCTTCTGAGCTTTAGCCCTGGGCAAATGCTGCCCCTCTGGTAGATTATGTTTGGGTGTTCTAAGGAGTACACACCTCTCTGGTGTTACTGTTCACCCCAGAGCCCTGTCTATTGCTTGGCAAAAAATGGAGTCACTTCTTACTCTGCTTCCTCAAAGCGTTGTTGTTCCTCAAAGAGTGTTGGTCCTGAGGTAAGCAACACACCTGAAGGTCATTATAAAAGTGACCTATGATTTCAGGGGCCTAATGGAGATTCCACCATGGACACTGCATCACGACTGTCGCAGAAAAAGGAAAGGAAATGGAGGGAAGGACATGGATGACTCAGGAAAACACTTGGGTGGCAGGGGGGCGATTATTGAAGCCTTATCAAAACAGATGGCATCATGCCTCGGCCTTTCCCACTGCAATCATTAGCACCATCTGATGCAAGGTCACCAGCGACACTAAAAATGCTAACTTACAAGCCAGCAATACGAACTCACTATACAAAGTCGAAGATCGATAGCAATGAAAAGGTGACCAATTGAATCAATCCTTCCTTTTATTAGGGGGCAGCTAATGAGTCTTTCAGTCAAGCAGGGGAGAAAGATTACATCAAATTCTTAAATTCTGTTTCCCCAGAGTAGAGCGCAAGGGAAAGCACAAGAAAAACTGAACCAGACAGTAATCACTAGTGAGCGCTCTAGGCAGGCCAGTGGGGCACAGTCCATTCAAGCCCTTCCACTTCCCCACCACATCCGCCAGCAGGGTAAGCACTTCAGTTCACTGGCCTCCAGCCATATTTTCCCACATGCTCCCGCCAGCCTGCTCTCTCATGCTTCACTAATCACTCTCATAGAAAGTCTAGTCGGGCACCTAGCACTGAGGAGGCTATTTCCATGGAAATACTCCCAAACTCCGGAGCCCGCTACTACATAGTTTGGCATTTTTGTAGCTGTATTTTATAGTAGAGCAAAGAAGAAATAAAAATGCAAAACACATAAGCATCTTGGCAGACTTGAAAAGAACAAACTTTAGATATTTTAGAGGTAAGCCAATACTGGCAAACATTTGTATTTAGGAAAACATAAAAATTCTATCATCTTAAGCCCAGTGCCAGGCAGGGAAACAAATCCCCACAAGCAATCATTAATAATAAGGATAACTTCAATCTGACTAAATGATCATGACTGAAGAGAACACAGCCAATCATAAAAAAAGAGCTATTTTTATCTTTGTCCAGGAAACTCAGAGTAGTTGATTCCACATGAAATCATCAGATATGTGCTTGGAAATTGCCACATCATTGTTTTCTGGACTGACAATTTACAGTAAAAATTTTTACGTTTAGAAAATAATTATAAGAAGTGAATCCATTTCTAGAACACATTTGCCGGTGGGAACATTCCTTAAAGTCTTGTACTAAAATCAAAGTGAGTTACCAGACTCTGAGGAGAATAGGATCTGACAGCAGAGGAGCTGCCAGTCCCTGGTGCCATCTGATTGTTGTGTTGAGAATTTGTGAAGACAAGGGCTTGGCTGAAACCCTGCTGCTGGGAAGATTCAAAGGAGTTGGCTTCTGAGGCTTGGCTGGACGGAGCAGGCTTCTGGAACAAGGCTACGAGATCAATGCTAAGCAGACAAAAAGCAAACGAGAAACCAGTCAGAAGCCAATCTTACCAAAAATATGAATTTCAGAAGTGAATTAATAAAAACTAATTCATGCTAAACAGTTACTTAAAGAAGAAACCTGGGACACTAGAGTTTGACGAAGCCAGAAGGGGAGCGTCAATCAACAAATAAAGCACACAAAATACCAAGTCAATGAGACAAGACTTTGCAGAGAAAGAGACCAAAGAGTGTTCTGAGAAAACGCCAAAGAAATAGCACAAAAAAATTATCAGGGGTTCATGAGGGAGAGGGGAGCAGGGAGAGGGAAAAATGAGGAGCTGATGCCAGGGGCTTATGTGGAGAGCAAAAGTTTTGAGAATGATGAGGGCAATGAATGCTTTACACAATTGATGTATGTATGGATTGTGATAAAAGAGTTTTATGAGCCCCTAATAAAACGATTTTAAAAAATTATCAACTAGAAAAACAAAACAAAAAAGAAATAGCACACACACACAAAATAGCACAATGATGACTGGTTAAAAAAATCGGAGCGAGATGTCCCACGGCTTTGGTAGCAATGGTTTTCGCTGTGTTTGAGCTACTCTAACCCCCTCCCCCAAGGACTGGGCAGTCGGCTAGTCCGCGCTTCACGGTAACCATGTGCGACCGAAAGGCTGTGATCAGAAATGTGGACATGTCGAGGAGATGCAACAGGACGCAATGGAGTGTGCTACTCAGGTGCTAGAGAAATACAACATAGAGGAGGACATTGCTGCCTGTGGGGGGAAGGTCAGATGCATACAGACATCCTCCCTGAAGGCAGTTAGTCACCAGACTACAGGGTAGGTCCCTGCTCCTTACTGATCAAGGAAAATGGACAGGCCAGCAGTGGCAGATTTGGTTCCTGTAGGTGGAGTTCACATCCTACTGGTAAATGGTCTCTATCAGCTGAGCCAGGGAACAGGTCAAACTGGTTCTGTGACATCATCCAAAGTTAAGCTGCCATCCTAATTCTAGGTTCTGCCCATCTTGCCACATGCATACCCCCAATCCCTCCTCTTCCTATTGCGTGGATACCCCTAGATCACCCCCTCCCATTACTGTATTACCTATAGCACAATCCCTTCCTGTGACTTATGTCTTCCCCTGTAATTAGGGGGCTTGCATGTCCCCGGAGAATATAAAAGCCTTGGTAAGCATTAAAGACTCTCTCTCCACGTGGACCACCAAGCGGGGCTGAGGTGCTACCATGAAATGTGTCTGACTCCATTATTTCAGTATCTTTTATCTCTCATGCTCTCTAAGACCTTACTATAATCTTTACTTATTACTGCTGTACAATTGTACCTACTGGACCCGTGATGATGTGCTAGGGGCTGGCTTCCCCTTGCAGCGGCCACATCAAGAAGGGGTTTGACAAGAAGTACAATCCCACTTGGCACTGCATTGTGGGCAGAAACTTTGGTAGTTATGCGACACACGAAACTAAGCACTTCATCTACTTCTACCTGGGCCAAGTGGCCATCCTTCTGTTCAAATCTGGTTAAAGCCTGGATTGTGACCGTACACCCAGTGATCCATCCAAAACCAAGGACTGCCGCCTCCATTCCAAACTCCAGAGACTGGACTCTTCAGCCTTGCTCAGGAACACCTCATCTTTGGACCTTTGTTGTGTTGTTTGGTACAGGACCTCCTCTGTACTCCTTTGTGGTTATAAAGCAATTATCAAAACGGCTCACATTTGTATTTATTTTCTATTCCATACTTTGCCTTGCCTCGTGCTTTTCTTTCCTCACAATTCATTCCTTTCCAATAAAAATAAATAAATCTGTTGGAGATGTGTTAATTAAAAAAAATAATTGGAGCAATTAAGTAAACTAAAATAAGCTTGGCTTACTTCTCTTTTTTTAAATCGTTTTATTAGGGGCTCATACAACTCATCACAATCCATACATACATCAATTGTGTAAAGCACATTTGTACATTCATTGCCTTCAACATTCAAGGCATCTGTTCTCTAGACAAGCCCCTGGCATCAGCTCATTTTTTTGCCCTCCCTCCCTGCTCCGCCCTCCTTCATGAACCCTTGATAATTCACAAATTGTTATTTTGTCATATCTTGCACTGTCCGACGTCTCCCTTCACCCACTTTTCTGTGTCCGTCCCCCAGGGAGGCGGTCACATGTAGATCCTTGTAATCGGTTCCCCTTTCCAACCCACCCACCCTCCATCCTCCCAGTATCGCCACTCACACCACTGGTCTGGCTTATTTCTTTTAGCAACTTTTATTACTTAGATTCTGGGTTTCTTTAACCTTTCCAAAGGAGAGTGACTGTATATCTCTGGAGAATGAGAGTCAAGATATGAACAGACCATTCAAGAAGTCTTTGATTTATCTTATATATTCCTAGGAGATTTTCATTCAACTCCATAATAAACTTAAGTTTACCTAATTTTCTTACCTAAATACTCAGGGGAGGTGCCCACAAACACAACGTCAACTAGAATGCTTGTGATGTTGTCAGAAAAGCAATATTCCCATTTAAGAAGATCTGAAAGCAAGAGGGGAAAGGGGTCCTCCAGATAAGACTACCTGACATGTGAGTGAGCTGCTAACTTCCACAACCAATTTTTCCCCAGCTTGCCTAGTACCACAGCCACTCCATGATGCTCAGGGCTCTTTTCCACGCTGATTTGTTCCATTAATAAATCTCCAGGGGCTGGTTCCCAGCAGTTCTCGCTCTGTACCAGTCAGGCTGGCAGTTCTGGGAGGTCAAATCATTCATGACTCCCTCAAAAACAGAGCAATGTTACCGGCCCTGACTCCTTCTCCTTATAAATTGCCACTCTCGTGTCTCCATACCAAGACCGAAGTCCCAAACCAGTATTTTAGATCCTAATATCAAAGCTTCTAATGGTCTACCCTAGGGATACAAATCCATAGTTTTTTTATTACTTAGGATTTTCATGACTACAAAAATATATTTTCCAATGTAAGAGCCCGCGATAAAAGTACTTTTTTTAAATCTTTTCCAAGAGCTAGATAAGATAGGGACACAGAAAATTAGTAGAATATTATTTAATGAAGTGAAAAAAAAATACTAACCACTACAAAAAAGCAACATCTTTTTAAAAAATATATTGTGAAATACTTTCTTTTTAAAAATAATTTTATTGGGGGCTCTTATCACAATCCATCCATCCATTGTGTCAATCACATTTGTACAGTTTTTGACATTCTCATTCAAAAACGTTTGCTTTCTACTTGAGCCCTTGGTATCAGCTTCTCATTTTCCCCCTCCTTCCCCGCCCCCCACTCCCTCATGAACCCTTGATAATTTATAAATTATTTTGTCATGTCTTATACTGTCCAATATAAAACCAAGTTTTATGTTGTCCGTCCCCCCGGGAGGGAGTTACATGTAGATCCTTGTAATCAGTTACCCCTTTCTACCTCACCTTCCCAGTATCACCAATCTCACCACTGGTCCTGAGGGGTTCATCTGCCCTGGATCCCCTGTGTTTCCAGTTCCTATCTGCACCAGTGTACATCCTCTGGTGTAGCTGGATTTGTAGGGTAGAATTGGGATCATGATAGTTGGGGGGAGGAAACATTAAAGAACTAGAGGAAAGTTGTATGTTTCATCGTTACTACACTTTACCCTGACAGGCTCGTCTCCTTCCAGTGACCCTCTGTTAGGGGATGTCCAGTTGCCTATAGATGGGTTTTGGGTCCCCACTCGGCACCCCTCCTCATTCACAATAATATGATTTTTGTTGTTGTTGTTCTCTGATGCCTGAAAAGTATCATCTTTACAATGGAAATTATCCTATCAGCATTATAGAGAAAGAAAGAAGGTGCTTCAAAAAGTTTCCCTATATAATCAGCTCATTTAGCACTAGATTAGAAAGGCAGGCTCAATAGTGCCTTACTCTCTAAGGGGCCATCTATATTGAAACATCACCCTTCCACGAGAGTGCCTCCAAAATGTGTGGGAAAGTCCCTATCTTTGCATTCTATACGAAATTTTTTTGAAGCCACCTCACAGCTCATTGTGTTTTTAAACCATAATGAAAAGTGTTTAAATTGCTTCTTGACCTGTTGGTTAAAATCAAATGTAAAAGTATCTGTGGTTGCTGTAGTTGCTGTGGGTTAATTTTCTTTAATAACTCAGTTCTGTACATGTTCTATGAATGTTATTACCCCAAAAGCTTCTTCCTGTTCGGTAATTCACAAGCCAAGTAGATTAAAACTGGCATAAGAAGTTTGTCTTAAATCTAAATCAATGGTACTATGTGAAAAAGCCAAAGGATGTTCTATAATAAACTTAAAAGAACAGTGACCAGGCTTTTCAGAAGTGGACTGTCAGGCCTTCCTTCCTAGTCTACCTCCGTCGGAATATCTGCTGGAATCTTTACAGCACCCTAGCATCACGCAAGCCTCTATGAACTGACAGGGAGTGGAAGTGTGCTGACGAGGAACCAAACCTAGGGCTCCCAAATGAAAGGTGAGAATTCTGCCAAAAATCCACCAGTGAGGCCGCCCCCTCCTCCCCTGTAAAGCCAATGCTTAAACGGAACTTCTTCTGAAGGTATCCTAACAAGATTCAGAAAAGTGTATTACTGAGAGAACTTGTCTGTAGCCACCCCGATCACAAGCACATGGTTAAACCCGTTTTGTTTAGAATAAACCTGTGCATACATGAACTGGCTTGCTAATAGACACGTATTGAACTACCTGTGTTTTAGACATTTTGTCAGTGTTCTAATTTTGATATAATTGAAGCTTTGTCAGCTGACCAGATAGGTTAGGAATAAAATAAAAGTTAGTTTTAGATTGAAAAAGAAAAGACAGATTTAAGGACCAAAATACTTTTCCCCAGCAAAAAAAACTTTCCATAATGGTTGACTCACAAACGGAAGGTGGCAAAAGGTGTGTACCTTTGTCCAGGGGGGACGTGATTCTCTGCTGGAACAGACGAAGCGGTGAAGACCTTTGTTTCAGAAAGCTGCATGGGAAACAAAACCATTTTTAACTTTAAATCTAAAATTAGAAATATATTGAATACTGGCAATTTTTTCCCACCAGTATGCTCAATTGTACTATACCCAAAAAGTGGTCTGAGACAACAAAGGAAAAATGTTTTTTCCCCCTTCCTTCTGGTGATAAAACTTTTTTAAAAATCATTTTATTAGGGGCTCATACAACTCTTACCACAATCCATACAGACATCAACTGTGTAAAACACATTCGTTGCCCTCATCATTCTCAAAATATTTGCTCTCCACTTAAGTCCCTGGCATCAGCTCCTCATTTCCTCCCTCTGCCTTCCCACTCCCCCCTCCCCCAGTGATAAAACTTTTAGACTGACAAGCTTACAATAAAGGTGTCACATCATTATGTAACTGATAGGAGACAACAACGTCAAACTAATGTCCAATGAGTGTTCACGTCGCAGCCCAACTACTCTCTATTTGCCACTATATCAAAAGAGATCCTCTAATAAAACCATGGCCAGTGCTACCATAAATGCCAAGAGGGAGCAAAGAAGTTTTAAAAAGTAAATTAAACAACCTGTTCCCTCCAAGATGGCTTTTACATTTTGCTGATCAGTAATGTATATTGATTTATTATACTATAAATTTGGCTTAAAAATAATTTTATCGAGGTAAAACAGGTCTAAACAGTAAATATTTAAATAATTGAACACTGTGGCATGCACGTACTCCAGTAGAATTACCAACACAATCTTAACATGCCAATGACTCCCAAAGGTGTCCTCCTGTCCCACCACTCATCAGTGGGCCTGCATAGCACAGATGTGCTTCCTAACATTATATACCAGGTTGCATCCCTTTTTGTCTTTGTTCACACAGCATAACTGCTCCGAGATTCATGCATATTGTTTTAACTCACTCATTTTCATTGTCACAATAAAAATGGTTAAAACTTCAATAGTCATTGATGAAATGGGAACGGCCTTTCGAAGGCTAAGAAGTATTGATCTAACAAAATAACACAAGAAACTAATGAGAAGTACTACTCAAAGGCAGATGTTATTCTTCACACCCTGAAATGTCTCCCAGATCTTTGAGACTCTTAAAAATCAGACTTTCTGAGACAGAACTATCCAGGCAATGACTGAGGAGAGGTGTTCCCTTTCTTTCAAAACAAAAAGTGCCAACCCAATGATATTTCAAAAGGAAGGGACCATTGTACTCCCTTTCCATGGTATTATTTTAAAACAGAGTGAATGTTAGTTAGGCTTGCAGCAACTGTAGATAGTATTTTAAAACTGCCTATAGACCTTAAAGAAACATATTAACTATAATTAATTAAGAGTTAAGAAAGAGAAACAAGGGATAATTCTATGAAAAGCAACAGCAGAGTAGAACTAAAGTCATTTAAGTATAAAGTTCAAAAGAGATGCAAACCACTGACACCAGAGCTAACCCTGGTGTCATACGGAAGTAGGATTCCCTCTTTTCTTAAAATAGGGCTATCGTCGTAAAGGAGAGGTGAATAGTGATTATTCTAAGGTATCAATGGAATTTAGAATTACATTTTAAAATTTCCCTACCAATCACATTTTAAATTACAATTTAAAATTTCCCTACCAAGCAATCATTTTTGTGTCACCTAAAGAATTTTCGTATTTTCTTGATAATTTCATATAAAAGAGATGCACAGACCCACTGTGCTATTTTCATTAATTATACATCATACTGTATAACATCTGCCCTGCATAGAATATTATCTCACTGTGTATGGTATATTACTTATTTGCAAACTTTTGTAAGACTTCATCTGATCAGCCATTATACTAGTCATTAAAAAGGTAAAAACGGACAGACTCAGAAAGATGCCTTGTCCAAGCCAAGATCAAGATGTCAACAGCGCTACCACGGGCATGTAAGCATTGCCTTCTACTGGTGCTTTCCAACCTGCCTAGCTACTGACGACCCTGCGGGGCCAGGACATGCATGGCTTTTAGCCTTACTCTTTTTTCTTTAAATTCATCCTAACAAAAAGTCAAATACACAGGATGACCGTGTTTGAAATACTAAACGGTACCACAGGGTGATCACTCTGACTCCCCTTTTTCCCTAGACGAGCTCTCCCCTGGTTTACAGGATCACTTAGCTCTTCCAGTCTCACATCACTGGTAACAGAGAGCCAAGTGACATCCCATCTCAAGGACTGGTGGTTAATAGAGAGCAGCAATCAGATGAGTGTATTTATTTTTATCCTATGGGTGAGGTGATAGCCACTAACCACAAAGTTGGCAGTTCAAACACACCAACCTTTCTGGGGCACAAGGAGATGGCTGTCTACTCCTGTGAAGATTTATAGGCTCCTAAACCCTAGATCGGGTTATTATGAGTTCATAATTAACTGAACGGCATTGGGGAAGTTTTCTTGGTTTGTGTTTTGGGTTGTTGCCTCATACCTACCCTACCTAATTCCCTTACAAGTCAAATATATAATTACTAAAAAGTGAAATAACATAAGTACAAAGTTTTTTAAAAACATCCTTCTAAGTCAATTGTCTTTTTTTTTTTTTACAGTTTTACAAATTAAAAATAATTCTATGCCACAACCTTGTTAACATGGTGATTTGTTTGAGGAATTGCTGATACCCTTTTCACAAATGAAGAAACCAAGACCTGAGGATCAGTGTCCTGGCTAAGGTCCTTAAAAATTAATTTCTCATTCCAAACCGCTTCTGTCAGCACAAATCCGCATAGGCATTTAGGAGCAAGAAGCAAGTATGTGACTTTATGCAACTCTAATTTGTCTGATCCCTTATTTTTCCTGGTTCATGTCTGATCAAACTCTCAAGCATATGCTTCTGTCCAAACCTTAAACACCATACAGAAAGATGGTACAGAGTATGAAATTAAGCTAGTTCAATTGCTCCTTTTTATATTATCTAAGTAGACAATGTTTTCCTAAAGAACAGTTATTTTGAACCAAAAACATATAATACTGCACAGAAACTAATGTAGTACACTTAATAAAAACAACACCACCACCCCGCCCCGCCCACCACTGTAGATTAAACAAAAAACCTGCAGATCAAAACAGTCTGTCTAGTCAAAAGGGAGAATTAAAGGTGGGACCTGGAATTAGAATGACTTGCGCAAATTTGCTTTTGTTTTTTTTCAATCGTTTTATTAGGGGCTCACACAACTCCCATCACAATCCACACATACATCAACTGTGCAAACCACACCTGCACATCCATTGCCCTCATCACTCCCAAAACACTCCCTTCTCCACCCAAGCCCCCGGCATTAGGTCCTCTTTTTTCCCCTCCCTCCCCGCTCTCCCTTCCCTCCTGAGCCCTTGATAATTTATAAATTATTATTTTGTCATATCTTGCCCTGTCTGACGTCTCACTTCACCCACTTTTCTGTTGTCCGTCCCCCAGGGAGGAGGTCACATATAGTTCCTTGTAATCGGTTGCTCCCTCTAACCCACTCTCCCTCTACCCTTCCAGTATCGCCACTCACACCACTAGTCCCGAAGGGATCATCCGCCCTGGATTCCCTGCATTTCCAGTTCCTATCTGTACCAGTGTACATCCTCTGGTCTAGCCAGACTTGCAAGGCAGAATTCGGATCATGATAGTGGGGGCGAGGAGGAAGCATTTAGGAACTAGAGGAAAGTTGTATTTTTCATCATTGCTACATCGCTCCCTGACAGGCGTCTCCTCCGAGACCCCTCTGCAAGGGGATCTCCAGTGGCCTACTAATGGGTTTTGGGTCTCCACTCCGCACTCCCCCCATCATTCACTATGGTAAGATTTTTTGTTCTGATGATGCCTTATACCTTATCCCTTCGACACCTCGTGATCACATAGGCTGGTGTGCTTCTTCCATGTGGGCCCTGTTGCTTCTGAGCTTGATGGCTGCTTGTTTACCTTCAAGCCTTTAAGACCCCAGACACTATACCTTTTGATAGCCGGGCACCATCAACCCTCCTCACCACAGTAGTCTATTCACCCGCTTTGTCCTCAGTGGTTGTGTCGGAAAGGTGAGCATCACAGAACGCCAATGTAATAGAAGAAAGTATTCTTGCATTGAGGGAGCACCTGAGTGGAGGCCCAATGGACTTGCGCAAGTTAATTTCAACTGTATCCCAAAAAATAGTCTCTCTCCTTTAATAAAAACTTTCTACAAGGATAGCCCACAGGCAAAGGTTACAGGGTTATTTGCCTAACAGGCACACAAAGTAAAGGTAAACTCAAAACTTCCAGTCCTATTTAATGCCTAACCATTTTTAAATAGATGCTTTAAATCCAAATCCCTTTAAAATCTCAAAATACCACTTTCTTTCTGAGATGAAACTGTGAAGAAAGCAACATGTCTGAGAACTCGGCTAAGGTAAGATGTCTCAGGCTTTTTCCAAAACACACATGCCCCACCTGACGCTATAAGAAAGATGTGTTTGATCAAGTTTAAATCTCTTACATCTTCAGTCCAGTCTTCTGTTGTCCACTCTTCCACAGAATTCTTCCAAGTCCCTGTTTGGAAATGACAAGTCAATGTTTACATCCTAAAGCCAAATATAGTTTTTCCAAATGAATTTCTCTTTTGTATGGCACAAGAAAGACAACTATTACATAGCTCATGGGCAATTTTGTTGATGATGCATGAAATGTAAGGTTCTAGAGGGAAGGGATGGGATGGAGGGGAAAAAAGATGACCTTATACCAATGCTCAAGTACAAAATGTTTAGGAAATGATGATGGCAACATATGTACAAATGTTTGATACAATTGATGTATGGAATGGTATAAGAGCCCCCAATAAAATGCTTTCAAAAAAGAAATGCAAGGCTCTTAAATGTACTCTCAATAAAATTGATCATATTCAAATGCAACTTCCCAACATAATATACACATAATGCAAAGCAAAGTTTCAAAATTCGTGGGAAAATTCTGCTTCAATCTACTCTGTACATATCCAAGCAATTCTGCATAAGTGAGAAAATGTGGCCAATGCAAAATATATGTAATTCACAACATTAAAATATTCTATAATGGATACAATTTAAAACCAAACAAAGCTCAAGGGCAGGTCTGACTTAAACACTACTTCAAGTGGACTAATGAATATTAAATATAGAAAAGCATTTTTTTAAAAGATATTAACCCTATTATATGGTTTCCTAATCGATCTCCAGCCAAGCGAAACATGAGTTCTGCTCATAGCCATGTCTGGGGCTATACAGAGGAGGTTAGAGGTACTCCAAACAGTTCACACAGAATAACCATCCAGAAAACGCTGTCCAAGGGCTCTACAGAAAAGTGCTGTGTTTACATACGCCGATTTAGTACTGAGACTCTGATGCTTTTTCAGTTTCCTGAGAAAGTGAAGCATCTAACCCACAAAAGCTGTTTTTCTAGCAAACATCTTGCATGTGTATGCGTGTACATGAGAGATCGAGGGGAAGGAGCACACTCCTGAGAAGAAAAGAAAACAGAAGACGAAGTTTAACCCTCCTAAAAGCATTTTTTTGCTTTTACAAAGTAAAGGTTTGTGGTAACACTGCATAAAATAAGTCTATGGACACCATTTTCCCAACAGCAAATGCTCATTTCATGTCTTTGAGACACATTTGCTAATTCTCACAATATCTTTTTCCTAAAAGTTAGTTGTACACTTAATAGACTAAGGGATGAGGGGATTTCAAAGAGTTCAGTATCTTTTCATTCCATTTTTCCACGAAGTTTTTGATACCCCCTCGAACAGTGTAAGCATGACTTTAACATGCACCGAGAAACCAACAAGTGTTTTATGACTTGCTTTATTGTCATAGTCTGGGATTAAACCTGCAATATCTTGAAAGATATGCCTGTATTTTAATTTCAAGCTTACAACTTCTACGCAAAATGAATACTTGAAAATAAAATTAAAAAAGGAATGAGTGCCACTAAATAGTTTTGGGAGTGAAATAGAAATTTACTTGTGAAATAGAAATGAATTGCTTGAAAACTCATTCCTAAAGCTTTCATCTTTGAGGCACTTGGGATTTCGGGGCGGGGGTGGTGGGGGTGGTGTAAATTGTGGTAGAATTTTCCTTAAGAACCCATCCATCCATCAGCTATCAACCAACTACTACACGTTTGAAAGGCTCCACACTACACAGGATGCCGGGTACCACTATGAGTGGTGCCAAAGTCACATCTGTCACTGGAAAGACAGCTGAAGATATGGACAAACTTCAATGACAGCATGTACAGTGTAAGCCAAAAAATTGACTTGACTGCTTTATGTGCAAATGAATTTAAGGTTACACCTCTAAGGTAAGTACTTAAAAGAAAGCCAATTAGGAAAATAACAATGTAAAATTCAGAGACTCCTTGAAGCCCAATCTGTCAAACACTTTTATAAGCTAAGGCCAATGGTTTTTATTTTACCAAGTGGTTGTAAAAATAGTTTACATCTGTCTAATGAATTTTTACAGCTAGCTTTGATTTTTTGAATGGAAGATACTATAAGCATTTCATAAGATTCTAAACCAAGTAAATTTTTATATTTCAAACCCATCCATATTCTTTGAGTCCAAAAGAACTGTCATCTGTCAGATCATAAACTACCTCGTGAGTATTTGATGCCAGTTCTGTGGACTAATGTACAATGGAAGGTTTTTAACATATCAAAACAATAAAGGTATCCATCAAGTCCATAGTCCGGTATTAGCCGATATGTCCAATACCAATCTGTAAATTCCTCTCAGACTCACTAAACACATGCAATGATATCAAATGCAGGAATATCACAGGGCAGTGGGTAGAAAGTCATGTGGATCCAATGGCAGTAGAGGCTTCTCAGTGCTGGCGTGGGTCTCCAAGTGGCCCCTCAAGCTCCAGGTCTCTGGCTGCATCAGCATAGCTCTATCAGGCTTGTTGTCAGTAATGTCTTGCAGGGAGTGAGTGTGGGTCCTGCCTCCAGCAAGCTATTTATCTCCTTAGCGCCTCCAAATTAGGTCATCAAGCTGTGACCTGAATGACAGGCTAAACTCTACCCCTTCACTCTTAATACTCTCAAATTGACAACAGAACATGTAACTATCACAGGTAGTAATGACATTTGAAGAATATTGAGCCTTCCAATTCATGAACACTATGAACCCTTTCTACTGTCACATCTCAGAGATGTGTACGGCAGTTCCAGACCAGTTCACTACAGTGATATCACAATGAAGCAAGTTATCACGATTTTTCTGGTTTTCTAGTGCATATAAAGTTATGCTTACACTATACTAGAGTCTAGTAAGTCTAGTCTGAAATATTGTGAGAATTACTAAAATGTGAAAAGATAAAAGCAAGCATACGTTGGAAAAATGACGCCAATAGACTAGCATGACACACAGGGCTGCCTGCAACCCTTCAATCTACAATTGATGCCATATCTGTGAAACACAATAAAGCGAGGCATCCCTTCATTTGGGACTTTTGATTTTTTCATTGTTACATAATTTTCAGCATAGAATAAGAACTTTGCATCTATGTTGTCAGATCTATTCATAGCCTCCTCACCCCACCTTCCATCCCTACAATGGTGTTATAAACTATACATTTTTTTCTGTGAATTTTATGTCATTCATGCAAAATGGGGCTCTATCTACTCCCATAAAGAGTTACAGTCTCAGAAACTCATAGGGCACTTCTACCATGTCCTACAGGGTCACTATGAGCCAGCATTGACTCAATGGTGGTGAGTTTGGTTTTTATACAATACTGCTAGTATATAAGAATACCATCCTTCCATTTATTGGTGGTTCTGTGATTTTATGCCTTTCTCAGAATTCACCCACCTGATCTGTATGCCTGTGTGAAGAGTACATTTTAATATATATAAACTACATTTGAGTAAACACGATTTTAAACAATCAAAAAAAATGACAACGTGGAAAACTGTGGTGTGGTGGAAAATCATAGAATAAATGTAAAGACTGAGTCAACGATAAACGTAAAGGCACAATAGTGAGACTTCTGCGAACCTCCTTTAACTCTAATAACCTTTCTAAAGATTATTCTCTATCATCTCCAAAAATGACAGTGTTTTCTCCTTCTCATCCCTTACACGTGTTTGTGTACTCCCTTACTGTGGCTGGAACCTCTAGGAGAGTGTTTAGTACGAGCAGTGAGAGCGAGCATCTTTCTCTTACGCCGCAGGCAAGGCTTAACACATCACCTCTATGTGCATGTTTGCTCTAGTTTATGCAGATAATCTCTATGGGAAATTTTCCTTCTATTCTTGATTTCTGATCCTTTTAAAATTATGAACAGATATTGAATTTTGTCAAATGCTTTTCTTTTTGAGTGAATTTCTTCTTTATTCTGTTAAAGAAATAATATTGATTTTTACTGATATAACATACACTCCATCATTTTAAAGTACATAATTGAGTGGTTCTTAGTATATTCATATGGTTGTGAAGTACCATGATCTAATTCCAGAGTATTTTCATCATCTCAAAAAGAAACTGGGCCATTAGCAGTCACAGTGCATTCCTGCCTCCCCCAACTCTGGAAACCACTAATCAATTTTCTATCTCTAGATAATACATATGAGTGGGATCATACAATGTATGGTCTTTTACGGCCGACGTCTTTCCCCTGGCATGCTGTAAGACTCATCTATGCTGAAGCATATCAGGACCGTTCCTTTATATGGCTTAATAAATTCCATCGTATAACTATGCCACATTTCATTTATCATTAATCAAGTTAACGAATTTTTGGGTGGGGTGGCTATTATGAATCCTGTTGGCATGAACATTAATGCACAAAGTTTTGTATGAACACACAATTCCTATTCTCATGTAATTTTAACATGATCTCTCTTTTTTTTTAACATTTTATTAGGGGCTCATACAACTGTTATCCCAATCCATACACACATCAATTGTGTAAAGCGCATTTGTACATCGT